AAGGAACGTCATTTATCACTGAACACAGGAGTTCGTTTAAAGAGTTTTAAAAAAAAAACTATATTTGTACATTCATATTAAAACACATAAATACATGTTTTTGAACATGTTGATTACAAATTTACCATAAAAACAGATGCTTTATTGGCCTGATATGCGATCACTCACATGACATGTTATGTGACACCACCAGACTTTTTCATTGGTTATCCGTAAGTTTTTATTTTGCCCTTATTTGTATTTAAATGACCTTTTGTGCAACTGTAATCTTTTAGCACCTATGAAGGCCTGTGCGCGAAACGCGTTGGCAAAATAAAGAGCCATTTCTTTTCAGCTCCATTTTATGACTATTTTGATCTCTCCACTTCACGAGTGTTGCTGGTATTGTCCCAAAAATGATCATTAAATGACTCAAAATGATGACCTGTGAGTGAGCTGAATTTAAGTGAGCACTCAGCTGGAAGCATTAACGGGTAGCACCACATTTTAAACTATTTTCTCTCCCTGTATGCGAGATACCGTACAATAATAAACTGAACCGGGATCAACAAGTGTATTTTAGGTAGGCCTATGCTAAGTTAGTTTAAAATAATAGCATTAGTATATTTAAGTATACAAGTTAAGTGGCTCATAATTACAAATATAAAGAGGATAATAAATTAATTATATAGCCTGGAATGATAAACACATGAAAAAAAAGTCATTAACACCTATTGGCGTTTTTGGAGCTGCTGTAAAGCCAAAACAATCTCTGTTACTTTAATTGCCTATTATCACTGTAAAGCTGCTTTAAAACCATCTATATTTTTAAAAGCGCTATATAAATTAAGGTGACTTGACTAAAAATGCCAGAGGCAATAATGCAAAAACTAACGAAGCACCAGTGCATAAATTTGAATCATTCTCTTAAAGGGTTAAAACAAATTCTGTCATTAATTACTCATCCTCATGTCCTTCCAAACACGCAAGACTTTTGTTCATCTTCAGAATCTGAGCACAACATTTTTTGATATAAGATATGCGAATAAAAGTCTAAATTCAGTCTGTTCATCATATAAAGCTATCAAGTCTCTTGAGAAAATTTGGACTAAACCACTCAGTTCATATGGATTAGTTTTACAATCTCTATGAACTTTTTGAAAAGTCAAAGTGGTAGTTGCATAGCTGTCAATGGAGGGACAGAAATCTCTCAGATTTCATCAAAAGATCTTCATTTGTGTTCTGAAGATGAACGAAAGTCTTAAGTGTTTGGAACGACATGAGGATGAGTTATTAATGACAGAATTTTATATTTTTGGGTGAATTAATCCTGTAAGTCTGAATTTGTACTAGTCTGATTTTTGTGAAGTCAGACTGACAGTTCTACATGAAGTGATTGTAGCTCAGCTTTGTCCATCATCATATAAATTCACATACATTGAACTACAACTGATCTGTGTATTGTGTGCATTCACTAACTTCAAAGTATAATGAAAAAACCTGAACTTCCCAACAAACATGACCGATTTTTTTTGGGTGAACTGTCCCTTTAAAGGCCTCGCTTGCAGAAGCACGTGACAAGCAGACGTCTCTTCCTGGTGCCACTGAAAAAAGCATAACCTACTTCGAGGAAATCTAATAGTGTCCGTTCGTACGACAAATACACTCATTTTAGCAGACACTTTATTCAAAGCGATTCTAATATCTTGCGAAGTGCTAACATACAATATTATTACAATACATATACGCTGAAATTGAAAACAGTAAGATCCAGCATGTGACGATTCGACTTCTTCGACATAGTGACTCGTTTTCACAGTCATTACACAAATAACTCAAGCTTGGAACACTCCATAGTATCTATTAATTATGCTGCGCTAACATACCTACAATATTATAGCTAAAACATGCATAAGACAACACCGACATCTGTTTTTAACCATATTAGGGGGTGCACCGTTCCCGGAGGTACTGCAATACCGGGTCGATGCGTGGAGTGGACGGAGCAAGCCCCTATTCCATCTCCCTGATCCAAAAATCAATTTAATATATGGTGCCCGGGTAGGGCACGTATCAGATATTAAACTGATAAGAACAGATACTACACTTGATCTTAGCCAAAAGGCCGAGAAGCGATACCCACAATAGGTTTGCAGTAGCGAACTGATTCTTGGAAATAGCAAACATGACGACGGTGAGACTTTATTTATTTAAATTCTAAAAGCTTTTGTGTCCTTAATATTATAAAGCTTACACAGTTATCATATAAACACTGGTTTATATCACGTAGTTAAAAAAAGAATGATGGTTACTTTCTTCAATGAAGCCTGACAAGGACGAGCGGACATGCTAATGAGGTACTAGTTCTCCAACCAGAAACCTGGATCCTTGCGCGCTTCGATAATGGATAATTCCCGGAGTTTTATAAAAAAGAAAGGCAAACGTATCAAATTGAGATGAAAAAAAAGCTTAATTTAAGACATGACAGCACAGGTAAAATACACAGAATCTATCAAGTTAATGTAAAATATTGCCTTTAAATGCGGTGAGGGTCTGCCCCCAGTGGACAAATGAAGAAATGCAACTGCCTTCCCAACAGCTCCACATTGACACGTAGAAACTCATGTATAAACACATTACAGTCTATGATGAACACATGCAAATAATAATATTAATAATACTTTGAAAGGGAAATACATTTGTACACAACACTATAACTAACTAAAGAACAATAGACATCGTGACTTTTTTTCTGACAATAAACAGCAAGACACATCGTTCCACATCAATAAACATGGCATCTCGCATGCAGACAACCAACCAGCCCCATCAGGAACTTTTACAATTTCAAGTCAGAATATTCAGAAAAGTACTCAAATGTATGTTTTCCTCGCACAAAATTATGAACCTAATCATCGACACTATTAATTATTATAATAGGAGGACCCGCAGGCTACGTCATATAACTTATACATCAACCCATATATTTTATCTCAGATAACACAATAATTAAGACAGCATCCCGATGTAAATGCATAACGTTACGTTTTAAAAGTTGAAACAACGTGTATTATGTGTTGAATTCCACATGTAACGCTATCCAGTTAACATAGGCCCGTTAACTGGATAGCGTTACGTGGAATTCAAACAACAACGCCAAAACAACCGATTGACAACTTTGACAAAACATGTAAAATAACATTTGACTCTCGATTAATGTTAAACAAAATGTTTTAAATTACTCACCTTGCTTCCATCCCGAGCTGTAACAATTGTTAAACTAAACGCCAAACCTCACGCGACCGCTGCTCAAGTGCGCCCCATAATGACGTGTTACAGATTTACGTGATATGTAACGCGACCAGATGGGTCAAATATTTCCACTTTTCACTAACTTTAGAACCCAAAAGATTGGTGTAGCCTACTGTTATGTTATTAAAAATTATATTATGCATCAATTAACCGGCCCAGAATAAAAATGTAGAATCAAAATATATTATTGTAAAATAAACATGTCGATGTTTGCTCTCGCTAACGATTTGTCAATAGACCTTATGCGTCTTCAGCCATCTTAGAATTTTGTCTCTGAACTTTTTGCGGTTGCTCTGTATATCTCTGTATATTTCTATGGCATCACTGTCGAAGAGTAGGGGAGAGATGTAACGCTCTTTGTTTGTTTGTAATTTGCTCACAATGTAACACTTTTTGACTTTCTCAGATTGTGTAAATCTACTTAGGGTTTAGAGTATTTATTTTTTCCCACATTAATTTCCCACATGTCTAGTACAATTATTTTATATGTTTTTTTTATTAATACAGTGTATACTTTTTTCTTGATTTACCCTGAAAGAATGGAAGTGAAATGTGACAACATGCCCCATGTGGCATTGTAACATCACCATATGACAGCTTAAAATGCTATCTGATCTAATCAAAAAAAATATACAAGTCAAACCAAAATATTTTCTTAATAAAATACAATTATTAAATTTTTCATATAAAATAATGGCATTTTTTAATAATTAAAAATAAACAAATTTGAGCTATACAGCTAGGCTATAGCCTACACTACAGCATAGTTCAAAACAAAATAATAATTAATAATTTCTGAACATTGACTCTCAGTCTTTATTTACATGTTTCTCATGTTTTCTCAATAGAATTCATAGAATATATAGCATATTTAGGGGCACATTGTAACGCAATGTTCAGTAATATCTTACAAAGATTTCTAAATTTTGGCGCAATTATTTCTCTATATAGTTTTGAAATGGCAACTAGTAAATACACCAAGTTTCATCATGGTAGCATGTGTGGAAGTATTTAAAACAAGTGTGTTACAACTAGCCCCGCGCTCCCCTAATTAGCTGGCGAAGCAGATTTAGGCTACTTATTAGAGTTAACGAATGTTATCATGAGCATAATGTTTGAAGCGGATCTCATAACAAATGTATTCATTATTTATTCAAAGTTCATTCCTAAATCCGTAAGAAATACAAACCGGAAGACAGAACACGACGAGTGCAGCGCTGAAAAGGAGCGGGGCTTCATTCATTTACCATAACATAAGCTATATTTCCATCACCCTGTTTTTATGCACATTTTGAATTAGCCTAGCGGATCAGAAACTTGTGATGGGGTGGTTCAACAAACAGTTAATTTGTTTATTTAAGCGTTTTAATCATGCTTTTATACATCAGTAAAGAATGAATGAAGGAGAAATTACGTTAGAAGTAGAAATATCACTGGCCTTACAATAGCTCAATAAATGTGATCATATATTTGCCATTTGTAACACAAGATATTATGAAATAGGCTGTAAAACAGGGCCTTGTTGTTCTGTCATGGCTTTACTGTAACTCTTGTCCTCATATTGATCAACCAAGCCACTTATCACGTTAGACAGTAATGATCAATAAATCAGAAACGTCATCCACTGCCCACTTTTGTGCTAACAGACCATAAATGGCACTGATAAAAGCACTGTAAATATTGTCAAGTCTCAAAGGGCATTCGGTGGTATCAGTCAGAGTCTGTGTCGCGCTGAGGACAAAAAAACCTTCGACAATTTCTCTTGATTTTGATTTTTAATACAGATTCATCACAATGTGTACTGGAAAGTGCGCGCGGTTGGTGGGGCTAATACTTCTACCCTCGGCTTTTTTGTGTATAGTGGCCAATTTACTTTTATTCTTCCCTAATGGGGAAAAGCTGGAATCGGGACAGATTTCCCTGCAGGTCTGGCTTATGGGAGGTGTTCTTGGTGGAGGACTATTTGTGAGTATTCAGCCTTTCTGGATTTGATGGTCATATCATTCATGGGTTGTTTGAACTTGGCTTTTTTCCCCTGAGAATACAAATTAGGAATTTAGTCAAATGAATAGAACTGACTTATGGTGAGTTTAGGTTGATTGGGACACTTTTTCCCAGTCATCTCAATGGTAAAATGTGTCCCACTCAACCTAAATTCCAACCTATGTTTTAAACATGATACATCAAACACGCTGACTACAGGCCTCTGTGCGTATGTGGCATTTTCTTTATTGAATATGATATGGCATAACGATCGATAAAGAGAAATAGAATTGTTGAATAATTTGTGTGTTGTTATAAGAAACTGCACTGTAGTTAGGGGAGTGTATCTGAATAAGGGAACCTTCGATTTGAGGAACAAGGATGTGGCGAGAAAGTGCTATTATTAGAAACAAGGGGCCATTACGCATGCAGAGCTTCACTGCTCACACCCTGAAAAATTGGTTTATTGACATTGTAACATCCTGGATATGACCATAATGGATTAATCCTGAGTACAGTTACATACTCTGTTGTTCACATCAATCAAGCAATAATTGCATTGAATCATGCTATATGTGCAAATAGAAATGTTACAGAAAAATTGGACTGAGTTTGATGCATTTTGGCGTGAGAAAACGCTTAAACTCTTAAAAATAAAGATTCCAAAATGTAGTTTTCTCAGCGATGTCATAGAAGAGCAATTTTGGGTGAATAGTTCTTAAAGGGACAGTTCATCCAAAAATAAAGATTCTGTTATTATTTATCTAAAGCTGTATGCGTTTGGAAGCTTGTTTCCGCCACTGAATAAAAAAAATAAAATAAAAAAAATTGTGACTTTTTATCTCACAATTGTGAGATATGAAGTCAGAATTGTGAGAAATAAAGTCGCAATTGCGAGATATAAAGTCGCAATTCTGAGAAATAAAGTCGCAATTGCGAGATACAAAGTCGCAATTCTGAGAAATAAAGTCGCAATTCTGAGAAATAAAGTCGCAATTGCGAGATATATAGTCGCAATTATGAGAAATAAAGTCGCAATTGCGAGAAAAAAAGACAGAATTGCAACTTTTTATCTCACAATTCTGACTTTTTTTCTCACAATTGTGAGTTTACATCTCGCAATTCTGACTTTATAACACATAATTGCGAGTTTATGTCTCGAAAATTCTGACATCTTTTCTCAGAATTGTGAGATATAAACTCGCAATTGCGAGTTATCAGTCCAATTCTAAGGGAAAAAATGACTAACTTTTTTCCCCTCAGAATAGTTTATATCTCACAATTCTGACTTTACAACACGCAATTGCGACTTTATATCACGCAACTGCGACTTTATATCACGCAATTGCGACTTTATATCAATCAATTCTGACTTTATATCTCGCAATTCTGACTTTATAACACGCAATTGCGATTGTATATCACGCAACTGAGACTTTATATCACGCAATTGCGACTTTATATCACGCAATTGCGACTTTATATCAATCAATTCTGACTTTATATCTCGCAATTCTGACTTTATATCACGCAATTGCGACTTTATATCACGCAATTGCGACTTTATATCAATCAATTCTGACTTTATATCTCGCAATTCTGACTTTATAACACGCAATTGCGATTGTATATCACGCAATTCTGACTTTATATCTCGCAATTCTGAATAAAGTCAGAATTGCAAGATGTAAACTAGCAATTGTGAGAAAAAAAGTCAGAATTGTGGGATAAAAAGGCGCAATTACCTTTTTTGTTTTTCATTCTGTGGCGGAAACAAGCTTCCATACGTTTATTTGTTCTGTTGAACACAAAAGAAGACATTTTGAAGAATGATGGTAACCAAACAGTTGCTGGGCCCTATTGAACCTAAACCAGATTTCATACTATGGAAGTCAATGGTGGCGGGTGAGTAAATGATGACAGATTTTTATTTCGGGGTGTACTGTCCCCTTTAAAACTGTCCACCCCAAATTCCTCTTCTATGACATCGCTGTGAAAACCCCATTTTGGAACATTTATTTTTAAGAGTTTAATTGTCCCCCAAAATGCACTAAATTAGCAACCCGATCACACTAAATGCGTCTCTATAGCACGCAGTGTGTTTATCGTGTAATTTATACGCGAAAATGAGTTTTTACGTGCATAGGATACGCATGGGTTGGTTAGGGTAGGTTTAGTAGTGGTGTGGGGTGCGTGTGTACTACACGCAAATGAACTGCGTATCAAATGCACGCGAAAACTGCGTATCATGTGCACGTAAAAACTCATTTTCGCATAAATTGCACGTCACGATAATACAAAATGCGTGCTATAAAGACGCATTTACGTGAGAACAGGCACTCCACGTTTTCTGTACTTGCACATAGCATGATCCTGTGACCTTTTCTTTTAAGATTTTAATAATCAGAAGAACCCTTTTCTATTCAATGCATGGTAAAGGTTCTTTAAGTATACTTATTTCAAAGAAACATAATACGTATTTAGATTTTAATTAGACAATGATTAGACAACAGTGTACTTTCTTGAGTAAGGTCACCTCAATATATATATATATATTACATATATTATATTTAAGCCAGAATGAGCTGATGATGAGTTTCATTAAGTATTTGATACAAACATTATTTAAACTGCTTTGCAGCGAATCTTCTGACCTTGACATCACAGTTAATGATAAGTACATTTCCGCTCACTTTCATTCATCAGATGTTGTGTCCAAGCTGCTCAGCCATCAGAGCCGGGGGCAAAGGTTGCTGTGGGGCTGGTTGCTGTGGAAACCGTTGCCGTGTGAGTAAAATATGTAAAATCACTATCACATATTCATTAATATTATTGATCTGCCTGCATTGACACCATTATATGAGACCTGAACTGAGCTGGACAATGACATCATGTTTTTCTCCAGAGTGGCTATATATATATAGGCCTATATATATATATAAATGAACTAAATTAATAACTTTTTCACAACAAAAATGAACCATCACTGAACTTAAGCTGGACTATGACGCGATTTTCTTCTAAAAACAAACTTTGTTGCATTATTTTCATTATTGTTGCATTATTTTCCTTTTATTACTGTAAAGCTGCTTTGAAACAATATAGGCTATAGTAAAAAATAAAGGTGACTTGACTTGACTATCATTCACAACAAGAAACTCACTATAGAGGAGATGTACAATGTAAAAATATTTCCAGCATAATAAGGCTATTTTGATTGTTCACTATATCATGCTGTTTTTGTTTTGCACAGATGCTGAATTCTGTTTTCTCGTCTGTATTTGGCGTTATTGGGTCGGTCTACTGTGGTTGTGTTGCCATTGCAGCGCTGGCTGTTGGGCCAAAATGCAAAGTGATGAACGAGAAATGGGAATATCCCTTTGAGGATAAATCAGAGTAAGAACAAAAATCAAACGAATGCAATGCAGAGTTACTTCAGTTGTTAATATGGATATTAATATGGATAATACTACAGTCAGCAGGTTTAATGTAAATTAAAGTCACTCAAGGGAAAATTGCAGTTGATTGTGTGTCCACTAGATGAGGCCCTTCATCTAAAGCTCCTTCTCTCTTCTTTCTGTCTCGCTGGAACAGGAACAGCACTAGTTACCTGGTGGATAAGACTAGATGGTCCGATTGTGTCTTTCCTGAGAATGTGGTTCTCTGGCACATTGTGCTGTTCTCCATACTGTTGGGTCTGGCTCTGCTACAGATGATACTCTGTGTCATTCAGGTCGTGAACGGATGTGTGGGCTGCTTCTGTGGAGACTGCCGAAAAAGAAAATCGGTATATCTTACAGAAACATTTAAAAAAGCATTTACATTAACATACAAAAAAAAAAAAAGTTAAACGGAATTTAATTTCTTGAGCAAAAACTACATTGACATGTAGAGAAACACTATTTTTTTTACAGGAATTATTATAACAGTGTTGGGGAAAGTTACTTTTAAATTGAATACGTTACAATATTGTGTTACTCCCTTAAAAGTAACACATTTTTTTTGTTACTTTTTAGGAAAGTAATATGTCACGTTACTTTTGAATTACGTTTTCTCAACTGGGCTGGTGATGAGAAAAAGTAACAAAAGTTATATTTTTGGCAAATGTAAAGGGGCTTTCACGACAAAAGTAAAAACTCAGGTTGAAAATTCATAAATGAAAACAAAAAATAAACACGTGTTGTTTATCTAAAATCATTTTTGTTTATTATGGTTGAATTGGATAATCGAATATCAGCGGCAAAGACATTAAAGTGAGATTAAATTCATAAAGTATATGTTTCATTCAATATATTTAATTATTGCATTTAATTATTGCGTTTGTGTAATATTCTGAGTGTGCACTTCACTGTTTTTATTCATTTTGAGGAATACTGAATTTTTTTTTATGCAAGTGAGATGAGTAAATGCTCACATTTAGTCTACCACACCATCATGTTCAAAACGCCTCTCTTACTTATTTTTTTACTTACTTATTTCTTACTTATTTTACTCATGATTTCACTCAACACGAGGACAGGAGAGCTGTCAGCATACATAGGAAAACAAAGTAACTTGCATTACTCATTTGAAAAAGTAACTCAGATAATATCAAGTTTGAGTAATGACTTGAAAAAAGTAATCTGATTACATAACTCGTGTTCCCCCCAACACTGCTTACAACCGGTTACCATTTTAGTCTTTGAGGTCAATAAAAAAAAACTAAAACTAAAACAAATCCAAACTGTAAACCTTTAAGACCTTTGAAATAATGACCTCTTCAACACTGAAATAATTAGATGTCATTTTCATATATTGGGCTTTGAGACTGATCTCTTTTCTCTGTACAACAGGATGAAGGAGGTCTGTGAGATCTGCTGAGGAGGGAAATAACAACAACAACAACAACAACAACAACAATAAATAAAACAACGATTTGATCTGGAATAACAGCTTTCACACAGACTGCTTATAAATAATGCAATAAGCATCACTAAAAAGGGTTGTGTGTGTAAATGTAACCTTATTTTTACTTTATTCTGTATTTTCTAGTATTGTATCAGTAAATTATATTTGTCAATCAATTAAAAAAAACAAATTCTGTAATTAATCGCACCTACATTAACATTTGCAATATATATTTTTATTGCATTTCATAATTTCACACTGAATCTCCAAATAGAACAACATAAAGTCGGTATATTAAAATATTTAATATTTTAAATATTTGTTTAATGGCATCTTTTACTGAATGAAAGCCAGTATGACTGCCACTGATGTCTCTTTTAAATGGATTATTTTCTCTATTTATGGTGTTGAAATGAGCAATTTTGATTGGTTTGGTTGTTTTTGACCCATGTAACCTTTTGTATTTAAAATATCAAGCTCAAAACTATGATTTTGATAGAAATTATGTGGAAAAAAATCAGGTCCTATTAATGATCCAAAGCAACTGCCTTTCACAATAAACATAATTTGCTGAAATGTTGCTTCTCTCATGAGCCATACAACTTAGTTTGGTGGCAATGGCATAAATTATTAACTTAAAATAAGCAATGTCTATCTTTAGACTTGGCATCAGATTGCATGAGAATAAGATTTCCTTTACAGGTTACAGAAATACCCATGAGTGTTTTCTTTTTCTGGTATATTTGGCAGGGGGCATCAAGTTTGTTTCCATTGCATTTGGGTTGAGACTCTGACAGCATGTTTTGGCTGATAAAGCCAACATGTTCAATTTAGCTTTCCATCTCAACATCTGTGCCATTCTCTATATATTCTTTAAAATCACTGCTTTCACTGTTGTAACAACTATTGTGACACCGGATCAAACCGGATCTCGCAGCACAGTGGGTCAAACCCCCTGTTGGTGAAGGCCAGATTTGCAGCTGAGACAACATTCATACATTGAAACCAGGGAATGTGTGTCCATTCTCCAAAAGAGCGTGCGATTCTTTCACAGCGCTCAGCAATGTCTACTGTTATTTGCATATGAATATAAAGTCTATAGACCCTGTGCTCACGTTGTAACCTCAGCAATCCTTCACTCCGCTGCAACAAACACTCATTCGAAGCCCAAGATAGGATAAAGGCTGGAGAATCTCAAAACTAACTTACAGATTCGAAACCCATGACCAAGCCAACTGATCGATGTAAACATACTATACATGCCTCAGCCACAAAAGGGGAGAGGCAACAGCATGTCCTATATTACTACGTCAGCTTATTAACTTGTTCAAACCAGAGAGAGTGTTCCAGGAAAGGATGTTCTGTTCTTATGGCCACAGAGATCATGCATGTAAACACACACACACACACACACACACACACACGCGCGCACACACTCAGACACAGCCCTATAATAACTGCATGACATTTTTGCCACATATAATTAGACAAAAAAGGGAAAGAAGCGGTTGTTCTAAAAAAGCTTTGTTGCGGACCCATCCAGACTAATTCAATGACCGTCCACCAATTAGACACAGAGAACAGACACAAAACACTCATCAACCTCACCAATGGGTCCAGACAATAGCAGAAGGCAACAGACCAGAAAAGCGCTGGATCAGAGCTTGTGAACCGATTTTATGGAATTCAATAAAGTACACTATGTAACTTTTGTCCCTCTGCGGTTAAAAACAAAACTGCATGCATTTTGCGGAAGAACATTGTTTTGGTTGTGCTTCGTCTCTGTGTGAGTGTGCGGATGAATATGATTAAACTGCTCATAAAACATTCACTATAGGTTAAAGAGATATAACCAGTATAGATGGAAAGGATCTCAAGCTGACTACCTGAAGACGTTACTGTATCTTTACCCATTAATACACACGCTACTTCATTGAAAATCAATTCCAGCACAGCGATACAACAACCATAATGAAATGAGCCTTCACAATAGATAATGCTTTATAATGAACTCTGTTAGAGAGCTATATGGCTATTTATTTCTTTAATAAAATACTTAACTAAACTGTTGAGTATTAAAAACACCATCATCTCTGCGTCAATTTTGCAACATTTAAAATCCTTCAGTTCTTCATCTCCGAAAAGCCAAGCCAATGTTGATTCTTGTTTTATGATTCTTCGAGCTCTTCTCTGGAGGTTTGAGATTTAATCGCTCCATGTCAACTTTTCTCACTCGTTGTGAAAATAACCTCTGCCACTCTCACACCAGACACGCGTCAAAGTGGCCGGAGCTATTCTCTCCATTTACGGATGTGACAAAGACACACGGACGAGTGACATATGTACACAATTTCCCACTAAAACCATCCCGACATGGCCTAAAATATGAACAATTATAATAGGCGTACCATAGTGAATCAGGGTAGGACAAAAACATGTTTTGGAAGAAGAATTTATGATGTATTGATGTATTAAAAGTTACAAGTCAGACAGCATTATGTTTATTAAATCGTATTTCCATTAATAATCCTGATGACATTAAAGAGGATTTGTCTTAGTATGTCTCCAAGAATGCAACATACATGCACAAACTTGGATTGCAATCCTGATGGATCAACAGCTTCAAGTCAATGCATGTTTTTCTCAGTATGACTCATTAACTAAAATGACAAGTAACTTCTGTGTTATTGGATATGTGAATTTAGGAATTTGACGCTGACTTGTGAGCTCCCACACGCCCCAGGGAATAGTGTGTGGAGGGGAGGTGGATTGTTGACATGCAAAGAAAAAATTGGAGGGGCAGTTTTGGGGAGGGGATATTTTAGTTGAGAACAGGGTGGGAGAACTGGTCAAAAGCGATCTGAGCTGGATTAGGGCAGATATACTGTGCACTGAAGGCGTGCAGCAGCTCTCAGCCTCAGACGTCACGCCCACGGACCGTTGGCTGAATGCATAAGCCACACAAAACTAGAAACACTTCAGGAGTTTCAAAGTCGTCATCTGATTGGTTGAATTCTTCAGGATGTCTGGGAGACGTGTGCGTCGTGTTCTTAACGGTCCACCTGGAAACATAGATGCCGGGAAGCCAAACCCCCTCATGGAAGAAGAACGCCGTCGTGTTTACAAGTAGTGACAATGAGCGCAGGATCAACTAAACGCTGGTTTTTCAAAAGTATGTGAAGTATGTAAAGTTCACAGCATAGACTCTTTAAAACACGTCCAAGAGGTTTACACACTGTGTTAGGGACATAGACGTTCAATTTTCACGCCTCTAAACATGACGCGGAACAACTAAAACTGTGATTGGTTGCTTTACGTGTCAGTCAGACGGCCTCTGGCCCCTTGGCCAATGAAAGCTGCGATGGAGTCCAGACCTTCTGCCGTCGTCAGTCTGAAGGTCCGGCTACGCGATATAGGCAAAAACATGTGCGTAAGCTCTGCAGGAGAGAGTAAATACTCATGAAATCACTAATCTTCCTCTGAGAGTGTGAATGTGCCAACTCAAAGACAACAGTCAGGCATTTCATTTGTTTTTAGGTTTCTGCAGGTTTTTGTCATTCTGTTATATTCACACTTTTGTTAAAGGAGAACTCCGGCGCAAAATGAACCTTTGGTCTAATAAAACATTGGTACCTAGTCAACCGTTCTCTGAGATTTGTTTTCATGATAATCGAATGTAAAGAGTTTTATCTCTAAAAACTGTTTAGCGTATAACGCTAGTAATGGGGGCATTTAATAAGTAAAAAGAAATCGCTAGTTTATACCACTAACAAGACTCAAAATAGCCCCACACGAACACAGTAACATAATGAGGATCCCTACATGCAAAACGAAGCATTGAGAACTTTGTAAGTGTACAGACCGTTTAATAAGAAGATAAAGATAAAGACAGTCCACTTCGTGTATACAGACAGGAGCCATCTTTGGAAAACAGTCTCGACTAATCAAACCACGAACGCCATTCATACAGTTCAGAAGTTCACTGAACTTCATACAGTTCAGCTCACTTAGCACGTCGTTCGTGGTTTGATTAGTCGAGACTGTTTTCCAAAGATGGCTCCTGTCTGTATACACGAAGTGGACTGTCTTTATCTTTATCTTCTTATTAAACGGTCTGTACACTTACAAAGTTCTCAATGCTTCGTTTTGCATGTAGGGATCCTCATTATGTTACCGTGTTAGTGTGGGGCTATTTTGAGCCTTGTTAGTGGTATAAACTAGCGATTTCTTTTTACTTATTAAATGCCCCCATTACTAGCGTTATACGCTAAACAGTTTTTAGAGATAAAACTCTTTACATTCGATTATCATGAAAACAAGCATTCTCCTTTAAATGCTTGTGCTTTCCTACAAAACTCAAGCACAATGTTTTTTCTTTACTATAGGCATAGCTTATTTACCCATCATGGTATTTTGAAAGTGAGTATCTATCAGTGATTCTTTCCACTGAATAAAGATACATCTTGTTGCTCTATTCCTGTTCTACAGCTGATGATGGCATTGATCTAAGCAATTAATCTTCTCTCAATGCCACACAAAACTACGAGAGTTGATTAGATTTGGCTAAACCATCAATAACAAAGGGGGAAAAACCATAAATCCACGTGATTGGAGCAACAAAAAACATCTGTAATCACACAATCACTGATTAGAAATATGGTGCTCTTGTTACAGATAATCCATTAAAAAGTGTTTAAAGCTTATGTGAATTTGGTGAAGCAAAACCAAAGCACTCCATCAATCAACATACACAGCTGTATTCGTGGAAAACTTGACATAATAGTTATTATATGGCACATACGGCATTTTTCATTAATAATGCCATTAATAATGAATCTTAATTATTTATACTGAATTATAGAAAATAACAGCCTTGCATGCTTTCAGCAACTAACAGATTATAAGTATCGAATGTAAAAAGTTGTAATCCATAATTAATTGAACAGAATTAATAATTAACATAAGCAGAAACAGTTTCTTTCCTTGCCCCATGTATGCATGATGTAATGCACTGTCTGTAATTATGACCTTGATTGTTTCATCTCACTTCTGTGATAGTTTGCACAGTTGCTATTCCTAGCCTGTGATATGACCTCAACAACACCGTTTCATTATACAGCATGAAGGCCAAAGAATCATTCATGAGGTATCAGTCAAATCCCATTGTTCTTTACTTGCGGGACCAAGGTTTTCAAAGGGTTTAGGATGCATAAGCCAATGTGTGCAGGTGCTTGACGCCCTTTTTCAATTGAACAACCATTTTAACAAACTTATGAAAGTATATTTGCTTTTAAAAGTGAGGAAGGAGAGAGTCATGAGCCAAAAATAAATTATTTAAATTCTCATTTTGTTAAAACCTTCCATGCAGGTCTGAGATCAGTTTTCATTTGGATCTGTAAAAGCTTAAAATGAAAACTAGTGATTTATCCAACTCTTTCAGACACTGGCTCACAATTCACTGTGTCGGGTCGAAACGTTGCAGATTTTAATAAATTGATTTTTGGAAGCAGCAATGGCAGTGTGCCCATTTTTGTTTACTCTAATCTAGTGCTTTATTTGATCGCGCACCTGCCTAAGGTTTTTTTTTTTTTGATGTGCGCATACTTTGAATGCTTATGTGTGTCACTCATTGAAAATGCTTTAGTTCAGATCTGCAGAATTCTTCTTCACGCACCTTCCTTGTCAAAGTTAGGCAAAAAGGGGAGGAGTTAAACAGGAGAAACAGGTGAGACGAGGAGAGAGAGAGAGAGAGAGAGAGAGAGAGAGAGAGAGAGAGAGAGAGAGAGAGAGAGAGAGAGAGAGAGAGAGAGAGAGAGAGAGAGAGAGAGAGAGAGAGAGTTAAACATGGAACATAAAATTGGCTTCATTCAGAGAGACATTTTTTTGGGGCCAAGTCAAAAACAATGAGAATTTTAATTGCTTGTTTTTTTTTTGGAGTGTGTTGTAAAGGGGATTTTGAGTTCAGAGTGCAAATCGGACCTCAGCTAATGAACCGAGGAAAGAAAATCCACCACAACTCAAAAACAATTTCCTGCTGTCCGACGTTACACAATGAGAATTCAAAGAAAATCTCAGGGTTTATTTACCATTTTAACACTGTTCCTGAGTCAGCCTCCAAACAACGCCTTCATCAGAGCTAGGACAAACTCAGACTGCTCTCTGATCAGTGGCAAACAGATTAATGCTATTGGTACTAAGTCACACAATACTAATGACCATCAATGGGGGGCCTTGGCCTTCCACCCAGATTGTGCAGCCGACTTGCTGTTCAGAATTCTAATCCGTTTCTCCTTTGGAATTGGCCTCTGTAAATTTCCACTGGTGAAAAACCGCAAACAGACTGTCAAAACGAATAAGGGCGTAAATACACATTTCCCGGTATGCTGGTGTTGCTGGCATGCGTTTCTTTATAAAGATGAGCTTTTATTAACTCATGAGAATTTTCCATGTAGATTGGGACCATATATGATCCAAAGTATAGTGTTAAAATTAACACTTAAAGTGTTTTAAACTGTGATTTAAATTATAGATTCGGAGTGTTCAATGATGCTGGGTGTCTGAATTTAAGAGCACTGATGTCTAAAGGTGTAGTTATATGTAAAAAAAAATATATATAACAGTAATAAAAATGGCCAAGAGTTGTGATGTAAGATTTTTGTAAAAAATGTCTAAACAATTTAATAATGATTATAAATCCAACTAAACATCTAAACACTTAAACACCATAATGGCTGTGTGGGCAGTTTTACAACATTTAAAGTATACAGTAGAGAGAAAAACGACGGGAGGTGAATATTCTCTCAATGACTTCTAAGAATGCATGAAAGCACACAACTATAATCCCATCTATTGCTATCATTTGAGTTTGTATTCCTTTAAATGTCCACTAATTAAATTAATCATGCATGTGGTTGAAAAAGATTTAGCATTTGCAATTTACCAGCAACACTCAAAGCCAAAACTCAAGAAACTCAAGTCCTTGCACGTGTGAAGTTCTAAATAGTTTCATGAATCGATCCTGAATAGTGAGAATGTTTCCCTATGGGTTGCTGGAGACCTGGCAGCACTCTATAGCAAACTGAGTGAAAGAGGAGGAGGAGGAGGAGGCAGGGCGTGCTGCTCAGATAAGCTATTTAAAGCTGAACGTTCAGTGTGCTCAAAACTAAAGCTTTCCATGTTGTCATACTGAACGGGTTCTGCCATCGCCAGTGAACTGTCAGAGTTGAAGAACTATCGTAAGTCACTTGGAATTTGACAGTGACAAAGTTCGCGCAAGAACCAATCGGTGAGTCCATTTGATTACGTTATTTTTTATTAACATTATTTTAAAAACACCGAACTAGCGTGCAAATTCCAAAGTAAATTCGCAGTCGTATAAGGGTAAACACTGGAGGTGTGTGTCAAAAGTGGGAGTGTCAGTCTCACAATACACTGTCAAACTTGCTTCAGGGACTGCAGGCTAATTCTTAAACAAATTGTTGTCATTTTAAAGGAAAAACTACGTAAAAGCCTGGCCTGTTAATTCGTTTAAATAGGCTAGCTATATTTCATTTAACAGACAATAACCATAGTTTTACTGTAAACTACTTGTAATGTGCAGTTAAGCCTAATAATATATTGCTTTCGACAAGAATACACTTTATACAGTAACATTTTTAAAAGTCTGTTTACAAAATATGAGTCACTTTGTATTTTACAATGAAAGCTGTTTATTTATTTTTTTAATAATTATTCATCTACATTGTGCTACATTTTATGTTGTTTAGGTACTGCTTTGTTTTGTCTTTTTAGGGAACACTGCATTGACCATGTTTATTATTGCGTATAAAGCAAGTCTAATTTTGTTTAATAGGTCTATTCGTTCATCACGTGACTTATATTTGATCATCTATTTTATTCACGGGAACCAAAATAAATCGTTTACAAGACAGTTTTGGCAACCACAGCATTTTTTTCTATTTATTTATTAACAGTAGGCCTATAGCTTCTTCTGACAGGTTGAATTCCCTGAGGGTTAAATTCATCATTAAAACAGTAAATCAATCCACGAACTCTTCGTCATTCAGACAGCATTATATTTGCTCGTTAGACGTTTATTCATCACTTGGCACACTAATTAACAGCAAAGAAGGTGCTCAGGTAGTCCTATCTTACTTTTCGCTTTAAGAGATTTACTTTTCCTCTGAACTCTGGCTGATCTCTTGCACTGAGATTTTATGTAACGTACTTTTCAGCGAATGATGCGTCTGGACCAAGAATAGCCTTGATGTCAGCATATGGAAATCATTAGAGATTTTGTCAACATTCTTTAATAATTAATAATTGGTATGCTTCCGCCTGTACACAGTCCCCAGTCCCCACCCCCCATCGCCCGAGTGGACCACCGCGTGCCCGAGCCGAGCGTCACGTACTGCACATACACACAAAAATACTCAATGGGAAAGCGCGTGTGCGCGGGCACGCGGGGGTGGGCTGCACTCTTAAAAATAAAGGTTCCAAAAGAGGGGTTTTGCAGTGATGCCAAGAACCATTTTTGGTTCTACAAAGAACCTTTTAGTGAAACGTTCTAAAAAGAATCATGTTTTTATTATTGTGAAGAACATTTTAATAACCGTTTCTCACAATAAAGAACCTTTTGTGGAATGGAAAGGTTCCAAGGATGTTTAAAGGTTCTTCATGAAACTATCAACGGCAATATAGAACCTTTATTTTTAAGAGTGTGGGGGTTGACAGAAATCAAAATCATAAAATTAAAATCCTTGAGATCCTTCACTCAAATATCGGATGATCCTGCATGGCAAGAACCTAAATCACAGCATTTGCATTCAATCGAGTCCTAAACGCCTATTTTTTAAATTGATTGAATACTCCCAAAAATAAAGGTTCCAAAGGTTTTTCTTTTTCCTTCATCCTCTTAGCAATGCAATTGTACAACCATTTTTGGTTCCCCAATTATTCAGCGATCAGTTCTTAAAATATTTCTTATATGTGAAAAATATTTCAAAAATCTAAAGAACCCCTTTCCTCTATAAATAACCCTTTGTGCACTGGAAAGATTCCATGAATGTTGAAGGTTCGTCATGAAACCATGCAAATAAAAAAATAAAAATAAATTTTTTTAAGAGGCCAAAAAAGGGCTGTCAGCCCCTTATTATATTATTCTTAGATACTGGCACAAATATACTAAACATGTATATATTGATTACCTAATTTATTCAATTAAAGCTTATAGTTTTATATCTGTACAAAGTACAACTAAATTGCAGTATTAATATGTGTAAAACCTGTGGCGGGATTTTAAATAAAGTGTGAATGCACATCCTTTTCTTCTTTAACCTTGAGAAAAAACTTTAATGAACACACAAGCTTGTTGAGAAAAAAGGCAGATAACACTTTATTTCGATGGTCCACTTTATAGACATTCTGAATGTAAGTAACTTTGCAACGACATGTTAACAAACTCTAATTATTATTTGTAGACTGTCTCTTCTACTAACACTTTATTTTGATGCTCCCCAACAGACATAGTAACTTTGCAGTCAACTTATTCTAACCCTAACCTTACAGATCAGTCTACTCTAATGAGAGTTAGCTGACATGTAGTTTCAAAGTTACTAGATTTTCTAAACTGGACCACCAAAAGGCAATATGTTGTAATAATGGAAAAAAAAAGGCACTCAAATAAACCTCTGGAATTCTCTGCGATTCCGAGAAAAATGCTGTTGTGCTGTAAATCAATGAGAGATGAGACTGACAGCCTTGGTTTGTTTCTGAGGGTGTATAATTGGATGTGTGCATAAAGTGTCTCGTTCTCAGAAAAGAGTCTCAGATGGAGGTAAAGAGGAATGAAGTGTCGTAACTAGAGATTCCCAAACCATTTCAAGCAGCAGTCCTCAGAGTGTGCTTAACCTATAAGAGACAAAACACAGGCATACATACACAAACATGGCTCGCAATGTTTAGTAAATGACATGGAGAGGGCCGTCATGTTAGCTCGCAAGTCTAGATTAAACACCCTATAAGGATGTGTGTGTGTTTGCATCTGCTTTGTAGTACAAGTGCACGTCCATATCACTAGCAAACAACTTAAAATTGTACAAGTCTTGCGTCATTTCTGGGTCTCCAGGCAAGAGCCTTTCCAAAAATAAGAATTTCCTCCATTCTTATGCCCACTTTTCCCCCCCAAATTTTTCTGGGCCTGGTCACTTATGCATTTTGCCAGAAAATGAACACACAAAGAACTAAGAAAAAACCCTGAAATTACCCCGACGTGCCCTTCCGCATGAATTATGTTTTGCGCGAGTTATGAAAAGGACTGAGAGGAGACAAGAAAAGAGGAATTGTTGCGGATAAATGCATATCAAATGATTGGCACAAGACGTAATGGAAATGTGTGTGTCTGTGTGTGCGCTTTTACTGGAACCAAGGGACATTTAATAAAAACAACATTAACCTTTGCTGTTTAGCGTCAGTATTGGAAAATATTTTGGAGAAAAATGTTCTCCACAAACGCTCCGAGGTTCTTGGGGTTTGATGCAAACCATCTGAGGTAGTATAAAAGACTATGAAGAGGTTATTTCGACATAATTTACCATACGCAAATCATTTCATATGCAGTCTTTATGCCTATAACGAAAAGACGACATTTAGCTGAAACCTGAAAAACTGAATTAAAAACTATTCTTTCTTATCATTTTGACTCTTTAAATAATCAAGATCTGAAGATATAAAACTGCAAAATGATCGTAAGGCTGAAACTCAAATCAAACATCAAATTAAATGCTAATGATAATGAATTGAGTGCACAGATGCTGTATTCATTATTCCACCATTAAATGAGCTAATCCAAGCACTTGCAAAATTCTCAACACCATTTATTTCCAAAATGTATATATATATATATTTTGTATGAACTCAAACATTAGCAGTGGCTAAGTGCATTTAATCTGAATTGTGCATGTTTTGTCCTCAAGCATACTCTGGCAAGTTAACAAGCTGAACGAAAACATGACAGATTTCCAATGTTTTACGAGTTCACCACTGAAATGACAGCGGAGGGTTGGGTGGGAACAGAGTTGAGTTATGCATGACAGTAAACGTCCATATTTCTGTGGCGTGTGGTGACATGGTTTTGTGACAGTCGTTCTACTAGTTAATGGAGTTTCTGTGTGAGAGACATGCAGCTGGATGGAAAACATCTTCTGCCCTGCATTGCATTGGATGCTTGACAACTATAATCCAATGACCTATTACACAAGCTCTGTTGTAGTTTGTGATCCCACATCCCATTCACCATGTCTTTTTTGTTGTTGTGCAAACTTGCCAAGAATATATATGCAGGTCGGCCACTAATGTTACATTGGTTTCTGGAGCAGACAGAATTCATAGAGCACATACAAGAAGTGTAAAAGCCAAGTCATTACAAATTAACCATTAACCCTGTATACTACAAACCAAAGGCCATGCAAAACCAGGGGAAAAAAGCTGATAAGAGATGCATTGGCCACTCTTGAGATGTGTTTGTCTTTGGCTATAGGTTCTGATAAAAAGTTAACTGAGCCATACAACCAAACCCTCTGTAAACTCTCATATTCAACAACTGCAGGGTGCATCCCTTCAAACATGAGTTCAAGTCATGTCGAAAAGATTGTATTTATGAGTTTATGCATAAATTCAAAACAGAAACTGCCATTATAAAGCTTGGAAGAGCCAGGACATGTTTTAGCGTAACTCCGATTGTGTTCGTCTGAAATAAGAATGTCATATACCGTACACATAGGATGGCCTGAGGGCGAGTAAATCATGGGGTGATTTTCATTTTTGGGTGACCTGTCCCTTTAAAAGTGATTTACAAACTGCATATCGTTACAAAAACTACCCGGCGTCTCCATCAGGGAACTTGACCTGGCGCATAAGTCCCAATCAAGGATTTATTAGATCGGATGTCTCCGGTCAGGCTATCCAATGACGTCGCTTTATGGGATTAGAGTTGAAGTCTACATGCATGCACACACACGGCTGTAGCTAATGAGATTACCGGTATGCATAAAACCCATGGTCACTGGGAAGTTTTAGAAAACTAATAAACACAACAAACTGAAGCTGTTTTACAGTACAGTAGGCTACAAGAAAGGCAAATGGCAATCGACCCCCCAGCTGGTTTAGAAGGAAACCCTATAGGTTGGGTTGTTATGAATGATAGAGATAAGTCGGCAGGCAAGCACTGGTGTGACTGACAGGTGTTTCTCTTGTCTTTTAGCGCCCCCTGCTGGTGAAATGGGTGTAAAAATGCTGCAGTGCTTCCCCTTCTACAGACGCTGCAAGGAGAGGTGCAAAAGACAGTGCCCTCCTGAGACGGGTGAGATATTTCACATTCTCAAACTTTATAATGCCAAATTGTAATTGATGATGGCTAAATGATAAACTGGTTGTGTAAAATGTAAGCAGTGAAAACAGTAAAAACATAGCGAAAATTACAAGTTACCGTAATTCCATCCAGTGTCACTTGGGTAAATGTCTTTAATCTTATTTTATTATTCGTACCGACTTTAGGCTCAAATATTCAAAACCTAAGATGCCAGTGAAAAACAAGAAACAGTTGGTTTGTGAGGAGAGCAATCACATTTATTTTCTAAAATCGATAAAAAACAAAAGTGAACACCTCATGTTGCAATAAATCCAAGTCGACACAAAGCCTACAAACACTCAAGACTTAAGCTCAAGTTCCGAAAAGGTCTCTTCAATGTAACGGAGAAATAAAATAATGTTCAGTAAAAATTAAATTAAATGGTCAGAGCCTACTTACACTGGACGTGCTGGTTTCGGCTGCAGTCATGTCCTCATCTGATAAAGCCTATGAAACACTTGCTAATGCACTCACATTACATTAGCCTTGTTGACAAGTTTGGGTAAACAAGAGATACAGTTCCTCCAATGCCCGGTAGATGGCGATGTCGCTTTTTTGTAGAAGAAATAAACTTCTGCAGAAAAGGTTAAAGGGATATCATAGTTCACCCAAAAATGACAATTATGTCATTAATTACTCACCCTCATGTCTTTACAAACCTGTAAGACTTTCGTTCATCGTAACACAAATGAAGATCTTTTTGATGAAATCTGAGAGATTTCGGTCCCTCCATTGACAGCTATGCAAATGACACTTTGACGCTTAAAAAAGTTCATAAAGAGATCGTAAAACGAATCCATATGAATTGACCGGTTTAGTCCAATTTTTTCTTTATAAGATGAACAGATTGAATTTAGGCTTTTATTCACATCTAAACATTAATCAACTCACACATCAGTTGTGATCAACGGAAGCTGAAGCATGTTCGCTTGAGCTTCTGTTCATGTTACATGAATAAAAGACTTAAAGGTTTAGTTCACCCAAAAATGAAAATTCTGTCAGTAATTACTCACCCTCATGTTGTTCTAACCCCGTAAGACTTTTGTTCATCTTCGGAACACAAATGAAGATATTTTTGATTATATCTGAGAGCTGGATCACTCCTCCATAGGCTTCGACCGGCCCAAAAGTTATGAAAGACATCGTTAAAATAGTCCGAGTGACTACAGTGGCTCAATCTTAAGTTTATCAAGCGACGAGAATACTTTTTGTGTGCAAAAAACAAACAAAATAACGACTTTATTCAACTATTCATTTCCTTTCCTTCTCTGTACGGCCATGATATTTCACGTACGCAAAGCTTCTTGGTTGTACCATAGAGGTTGTACGTCACGCATCACACACATGACCAGCGTCGGCCAATAGTGAGCCTGCGTGTGACGTGCAACACAGAAGCTTTGCGCAATATCACTACGTGAAATCTCACGGCCCACAGAGAAGGAAATGAATAGTTAAATAAATTCGTTATATTCGTTTGTTTATTGTGCACAAAAAGTATTCTCGTCGCTTGATAAACTTAAGGTTGAGCCACTGTAGTCACTCGGACTATTTTAACGATGTCTTTCATAACTTTTGGGCCAGCCAGTTTCGATCCCTTAAGAAGCCTATGGAGGAGTGATCCAGCTCTCAGATTTAATCAAAAATATCTTAATTTGTGTTCCGAAGATGAACGAAAGTCTTACGGGGTTGGAACAACATGAGGGCGAGTAATTACTGACAGAGTTTTCATTTTTGGGTGAACTAACCCTTTAATTTAATCTGTTCATCATATAAAGCTATCATGTCTCTTCAGAAAATTTGGACTAAACTGCTCAATTCATATGGATTAGTTTTACGATCTCTTTATGAACCTTTTGAAGCGTCAAAGTGTCATTTGCATAGCTGTCAATGGAGGGACAGAAATCTCTCAGATTTCATTTGTGTTCCGATGAACGAAAGTCTTACAGGTTTGGAACGACATGAGGGTGAGAAATTAATGACAGAATTTTGGGTGAACTATCCCTTTAAGTTCCAAGCAGAAATATATATTTTTTTCTAACTTCTTTTCATTTCTACTTATGTCTTCAGTAGTAGCAAGTGAAGAGCTGAAGCCCCGGTTGTCCTCCACCACCTCCTGGGGCAGTGAAGGGGACAGCGCCAGCAGTCCAACTTGCCCACAGGCCTATTTTTCCCACAAGGCTCGGCTCTCGCTTCGGCACCAGATGGATAGCAACATCAATGCAGTGGACGCCACATACTAACTTTCTTCTGCAAGTGATCCCTGGAGAATCCTTGAAAGTAAACCAGATTTACCGTCCCAATCCAGTTTAAATCCCTCATTGGAGTGCGTTTGAGGGGAACTGGAGGACGAGCCATTAGTAGGAACTGGGAGTTTGGACACTCATGAGCGTCAGCTGTATGCATTGTAACAATGTCAAGATAAGTGTTTGATGTTCTCTAACAGTAACGGTACAGCTGAGTGTAATTTGGTTAAGGGGGGAATTGTGAAACACATTTTTAGGGGCAACGTTTACATGATCACAAAGTGCTTTTTAATTTTTAGCCTGTAGCATCTGCCCTCCACCATCTCTGCTATATATGCATCTTCACGATCTGAACTGGATGCTTCTGGTTGGTTTTATCAGAGGAGACTCTGTTATCTTAAGGCAATTGAGGGGTTTGAGCCAGATATGAATCTGTTTAGCAGTCTACCGATTATTTTGCCTGTCAAATTTAACCACGCTTTGCCTCGTTGATTATAAAAACAGTGTACTGTAAAAGCAACTGAATGTTTTTCTCTTTCACACAAACGGAAAGGTCTCTAAAGCTTATTTTGCTTTCTATGCAAGTTCCATTTTCTAGCCCGTATATACAATCTGTTCATTTTTCTGATGTATAGATTTCAGGACTTTCTGAAACAGACCCCGTCATAAACACATTTTGTTTGAAAAGTGTTTGTTTCATGAACTGTATGTAACATAAAACTAATGTATAATTCTAAAGTTTTTCCATTTTCAACATTTTTAAAAGGTTTTCTCATTGTATGCATAAAACCAGTCGAGTGAACGAAGGTGTTTGTCATTGAATAACAGGTTTTAGATTATGTGCATACGGCCACCTTAACTTTATCATGTGCACGTATTAACATGTGTTTTTTTAGATGTTAAATATGTATTTTACACCCGAACCCAGAAAAAGAACAGAAGACATGTTACACCTCTGAAGTCGCAATTAATATGAAAGATATTTTTGTATGTTTTGTATGAAACTATGTGTAAATAAATTTTCTAAAAAATAACAATCGTAATAAGTAAAAAGACCGCAACTAAACTAAATGATAAAAACATCACATGTACTTTTGCTTTCATTAATGATTGTAAAACAATAAAACTGTCAAAAAGAAACAAGTTGTTTTATGCTATTCTATCAGAAAAGTTGTCTTGAAGTCACCATAATTCATAATCTTTAATCAAACTTCCCCTCCTTCGCGACAATATCTCTGATGATGTTTACTGGCGCGAGGGAGGGCAAACCTGTCACTCACAAGAGATCGACCAATCGCAAACCACAATGATTCAACGATCCAATCAATTCCTGAGGGACAAAATCAAGCCCCGCCCTACATTTTTTCTCGTTTAAGAAGACAATTTACTTGGATATAGTCACAATAGGGAAGAAAAGACTGTTGGAACTTCAATTTCATGCCGACTTTAAAGAATTATCTGTGAAATTATGAATCAATCTGTAAGGAAAGACAACTAAAAATGTGGTTTGGCATTTTTATTGAAAAAAGCAAAGTGGTACAAAAGTCTGTTCCTTTCAGTCTTGAATCCTGAGGCAGAGTTCATCCAGCGGCCGTACGTTCTCTCACTAGTCTAGTCCTCACATGTTTTTAGGTTTGCAAATGACCCCGTCAGGGTAGCGCTTTTTAAAACGTGCCACTACTTCAGGGTCTAAAAGGTGAATACCGTCCAACTGATTACCAAGAGTTACCCTGGAAAACAATGAGAAAGATAACAAGTTAATAAGGAAAACAACAGCACATCTGATGACACTCTCCAACTTTGTCTTATAAGTGATTTGGGAATCAAGAAAGCTCCTGAACGTCTGACTCACCAGTTGGGCTGCACATTGTGTGGTCTACCAAACAATTCAATCTTTCTTGTGCCCGGAGACAAACGCTCAATCATTCCATAGATTTCATCTGGTTTATGACTTGTGGAGCGGACCTTTTGCGTAGACAGATTAAACAGATAATTTAGTGTACTGATCATCACAGACTTTTAAAGTTATGCCCCTATTATGCTTTTTCAAATATTACCTTTCATGCAGTGCGTAATATTGCTTTATAATAAAAAATTGTCTCCTAAATGAAAGAATTGATTCTGATCTGCTGAAACGAGTCATCAGTAATTCCAGTCTCACTCTGTTACAAACCTGTAACACATTTGCATAATGCCAGTCTATGGTGTTCATTGGCTGTCCGTGAACAACGTCTATTTTGACCCTCAAACACTGTAGTTGTAGCTGAGACTGGAAGAATTTGGTTCGTGTTGTTCATGTCGAGAAGACGCTGTTTTCAGCGCTGAGAATCCACTGTGATGCACTTCAAAAGAACAAGGACTCACACGGGAATCGACACGGTAAAACCGACGCCATCGTTACTGTTCGGATATTCAGATATGATAATGGATGTTTAGTTTCTGACATGCGCTGTAAGCGGTCGACCAATCACAACAGACTGGGCCGTCTGACCAATCAGAGCAGAGTAAACTCTCAGAAAGGAGGGGTTTAGAGACACTGAATCTTTGAGAAATGAGGTGATGTGCAATGTATATTATATGAGAAGTGTTTTTTGACCTTAGATGCATGTAAACCTATTGTAGGAAACTCCAAAACAAAATTAGGAACCTTTAAAATAGCATAATAGGGGCACTTTAAATTCATCACTGCTTTATCAGTAATATTGGTTATGACTGACCTCTGCCACTATAACATCACAATCAAGACCTCTGTTAAAGCCTTGTGGGTTTCCTTTTACTCCCACCTGAACAAACAAACAGAGAGAGAGAGAGAGAGAGAGAGAGAGAGAGAGAGTACATGTAAGGGTTAATATATATCCAACTTGTCATTATGATCACTAAAATAAACCCCGACAGTGAGATCAGGATTCTTTCACTGTGATACGGTTATGAAATTCTGTTTTTGTACGGCATGGGAATGGAAAAAAATATGAGATGGGAGGAAAAATGAATGCTTTCTTTGCAAGCGAATGCAAAAGGTTTGCGAGCTTGAGCAAAGTTTCTCAGTTTCTCATAAAGAGAACGCAAAAGCATTGAAATATATTTTTTCCACCCATCTCATATTTTTTCCATCACCATGTCCCTTTAAGGGCTCTGTAGTTTTGAGTTATTCCAAAGAGCCGTGTAATGATATCTGAACACTGTCAGATTGAATAAAAAAATTATTCTACACTACCGTTCAAAACTTTGGGGTCAGTAAGATAAAAAAACAACAACATTTATTCAGGAAAAGATCCATTAAATTGATCAAAAGCGTCAAAAACCAACATTGCAACAAAAACACATCGCTGTTTTCAGCATCGATAATAATCAGAAATGTTTCTCGAGCAGCAAATCATCATATTAGAGTGATTTCTGAAGGATCATGTGACACTGAAGACTGGAGTAATGATGCTGAAAATTCACAGGAATAAATTAATATTAATATTAAGTTTTAATAATGTTTCACAATATTACTGTTTTGCGTTTTTGATCAAATCTCAGTCTTGGTGAGCATAACGGAGTCCTTTCAAAAACATTTGATCAACCTCAAAACAAATCTTCCTGACCCCAAACACTTCGAACTGGAGTGTATATATATTCTCACACGTACCAAGCAATGCTCTTTGCCATGATTCAGCCAATGTCCAGTCCTTCCGGTACGAATGATCCTCTGAAGCTGGTTAGTCTTCACCCAGATAATCTCGTCCACACGCTCATAGCTGATTGAGTGACAGAAACAGATAAAAAGATTTCGTTTACTGATTTAGTTCCGTTAAAAGAGATCACGTTACGTTTTTCCACCTACCCCCATAAGCTCAGACACTCTCTGCCCAGCTCCATAGCTCTGTGGAAACAGAAAATAAACTATTGTTGACCTGCATTACATCACCTCCTTTCCAACTGTTCAGATCATTTATTCATACATTAAGAAACGTTTTAAGAAATAGTGTTAGATGCTAATCAGGGTATAGTCTTGTTTTAAATTGTTTGTTGTATATTGTATTATCTGTGTTTTTCTTGTCTTTTACTCTGTTAGCACATTGGGTGTGAGAAAAGTGCATTAAAAAATTAAATGTATTATTATTATTATTATTAACTCCTCTTATGGCATGCATACGATAATGGAAAATGTATTTAGTCACAGGTTTAATCAAGTGTGCAGAGTTGCTGAAAGCTTTTGAATATGTAACTCTGATATATCAAATTCCTCTATGCTACGATCACTACTCTTTGTATTTTAGCTTTATTTAGTGACGCGAGCTGATTGGATTACACCGAGACAGAAGCGTCTCATGAAGCTTTGTGCGCCCCGATCCCCCAGAGCCCACACCTTCCTGTCACCCAGAGGAAGAGGAAACCGTCATCCTGCAGAATAGGAATGTTGAGTTTCCTCATCTCGTCGTCTGTGAGCGTGCCGTAGGGAAGCTCCATGTGAATGTCCCACGGCGGGTCGGCCATCACCACTGCAAACTTCCCCAGGATGGACACATCCAGATAACGGATGTCACAGCAAATCCACTGAGATAAGGTCAGAGGGCATGTGTCTGTTATGCACTACCACTCAAAAGTTTTAATGCTTTTGAAAGTCTGATCAAAACTACAGTAATATTGGGAAATATTATTACAATGTATTTTAATATATAATTTAATTCTGTGATGCAAAGCATCATCATTACTCCAGTCTTCAGTGTCACACGATCCTTCAGAAATCATTCTAATATGCTGATTTGCTGCTTATGAAACTTTTCTGATTATTATCAATGTTGAAAACAGTTGTGCTGATTAGTATTTTTGTGTAAATGTTTTAACCGAATGAATTATTTTTTTAGGATTCATTGTTAAATAGACCCAAAAACCTTTCAATATTAGTCTACACTACTTATTTGGGGTCAGTACGATTTAAAATTATTATTATTATTATTTTTTTTTTTTATTCAGCAAGGATGCATTACATTTGTCAAAAGTGAGAGTAAAGATTTCTATTTCTATTATGCTTTTTCTATTATGCTGTTCTTTTCTACTTTCTATTAATCAAAGAATCCTGAAAAAAATTGTCACAGTTTCCACAAAAATATTAATCAGCACAACTGTTTTCAACATTGATAATAATGAAAATCACAGAAATAAATTGTATTTTTTAAAATACATAAATAGTTATTTTAAACTGTCCTTACTGTATTATACTCAAATAAATGCAGCCTGAGCATAAGAGACTTCTTTCGAAAACATTAAATGATTACATAATCTTACCAACCACAAAGTATTGAACTGTAGTGTGTCTTAAAATAAAAAAAAATGTAACCATTGAAATCAAAATCAAAATAATTTTACGAGATAAATACGAGAACAGCAAATGTGCAATAGAAGAGGCTCTGAAAGCAATTACAGATTAGAAACACATCAAGAGACTTAGCCTAATTCTATATTACTATATTATATTGGTTTTGGTGATTTTCAGTTTCAGATCAATGTTATTATAGCTTGACAGAAGCTGTGGAAAAGGCCAATTTGTCCGATCCTGTACCTGTGAAGGAAACAGCTTGCCGACGTTGCTGTCTTCCTCGGTGGAGTGCAGTCCGAGCTCAGCGGCCCCCGCCTGCAGGACCAGGGCATCCCCCTCGGCCTCGGGAGGACTGTCAATCTCATAGTGCACATATTTACAAGTGTCCATGTGGAAACAAGTATTCAGAAAGGAGCAGTCGCCCAGGCTCTCGTCTGTGTGTTTGTTGATGATTCGCCTAGGAAAAACACATTATAATCAGCATTTACAGGTTTTATAAAGGTAAATTCAAATGGTTCACCCTAAAATGAAAAGTTGTAATTTACTCACCCTGGTGTTGTTCTAATAAAGTATGTCTAACTTTCTTTTTCAGCCCACAAAAGGAGATTTCCTATTCACACTTGTCCATATACGCAACCAAATACAGAAACGCCCTGCAAATAATCAACAAGCATGTCCCAGCCAGGTTAGTCACTTGTTGTGAGTATTTGCAGCGTTTCTGTATTTGGTTGCGTCGGGAGTATTTTTGTTGTCAAACTGATAACATGTTTTCTTAATTTGCTGGTGTTTTTTCTATTCACATGCGTTTTCTTCAGTTACTGCATGTTGAGCCACCTCGGCCACCGTAGGATTTTCATTGAACAGTATTTGTTTTTCACCAAACCCTATCGTAAACCCCCAGAACACCTGGAATACACGGCATTTGTCGCGTTAGACCATTCTGTGATACTTTTGCGTCTCTTCTTGAAAGCTTGATGCTGGTTGCTATTCACTGCCATTATGTAGACGAGAGGGACATTTTTCTTTTAATTCTCCTTTAGTGGTCCAAAAAAGAAAGAACGTAATACAGCATTAGATCAAAACCAGGGTGAGTTAACGATGACCTCATTGTAATTTTAGGTTGAACTCACCCTTTAAGACTTTTTACAGACATTTTAATTGAAGAAACTGAAGGGAACACAATGTCAATATGTTCTCTAAATGTAAATGTCTTGGGAGAAACACATTGAGCTGTATTAGCAACACTTCAGACTTTGTAAAAACAATTTACAACAGATATCCGTTACTTTTCAATTTATTTAACAAAAAAAAAGTAGCTTGAATTGCTTTTGCTTCCAAGTTCCAACTACTAGAATATGGAAATAAATTTTACATGATACTATTACCGGAGATAGAAAATGACATAAAATATGAAGTCTTGTTTTCTGTGAAATTGATCAAAATGAAGTGAGTTCATGATTAAAAAACAAAAACAAATATCTGCAAATGTGCTCAGAAAAATCAACATAATTCAAGGGAAAGTTTTCAAAACTCACTGGCAGATATTTGCCCTTGTTTTAAGAATAAACCCACCTTATTTTGTTCAATTTTTCAAGACTTACATTTGCATCTTCAAGTAAACGTATCTTGATTCAAAGATGTTTAGATATTTGCATTGGAAAACAGGACAACAAATACTGAGGAAGATTTTTGCAATGCATGCAACATTTAATACCACATCTTTATGGATTTAAGACTTTCTGCTCTGATTTAAGACCTTTTTTAGGCCTTAATTTGTGTAAGGGTGAATTAAGACTTTTCAAGACCCGCAGAAACCCAGTCAACAAATAAAAAGGCTAAAAAAAAAATAGTGTTCAGATCCTATTATTATATTTAATAAAAAAAAAAACATGATTATTATGATTACTATTATCTCTAAATGTATTAAAACTATTTATATAAAATGTATATGTTGTTTTGTTGTTTACATTTATGCTGTTATCCAAAGTGACTTACACAAAAGTGATTTGTCAAAGAGCCAACAATAATAGAAATATACAATGCCAAGTTTATTAGACAACTAGATTAGGAAGCAAGCTGGAGAAGAGGAGAAATGCAGAGAAGAAAGTGTGTGTGTGAGTGTGTGCATTGTTATTTATTATCGTTTAATAATGTGTGCGTGTGAACTGACCTGAAGTGCAACTTGGTGCAGGGCTGTGGTGTGTCCCCCGACTGCACACACTCCTCTTTAGTCCCGTAATCACAGAACTCCTGTACTTGAGCCCTGCCTCGCGAGCGAAACTTCTCCACAATCGACTGTTCCTTCGCTGAACTGGTGTTCAAAAGCTCTAGGATCTCTTGGCTCACCTGACGCACAAGCATGCATACATAAGACTCCACATACATACAAATAGTCAAAGCTTGAGTGATTTGCTACTTAGTTTTATGCCTTTTTGCTTTGCTGTTCCTTAGTGGACTGCTGGCTCAGTAGACTCTCGATCTCCATGTCCAGGTGAGAAGCTTGCACTTTATTGCTCCGCCCTTTTTTCTCAGGTCCGCCCCCCCCGACCCCAGACGATCCGGTTAGCTGGGAGTTTGAGGCAGGAGCTAGGGAGATAGAGGATTTCTTGGGAGGGGAAGATGGAGCTTGAAGCAAAGGGGAGGAGCCTGGGGCTCTTTTTTGATGAATGATGTCATCTCCTTTTCTTTTAACGCCGGTTCTTTGCGGCTGGGCTGCGCCGCCAATCATAGCCCATAGTTTGGTGTGGTCGACAGAAGTGACGAGGGTGGACGAGGAAGAGGATGAGGAGGCAGCGATGAATGGCTGACGAACTTCGATTAGCTCTTGAGCAGAAAATTTGAGGAGGAGACTTTGGATGCAGGCATGGGAAACTGCAGACTCAGACTGAGTATAAATAAGGAAGAGTGAGAGGGAAGAATTACAGAAAAACACAGGTCATGTTAGTATGTGTTTTGGTCGATCGGATCACAAGTGGACGACACTAAATACAGGTGTAAACGGGGTCTAAAACCTTTTAAGTTTGTCCACTTTCAACCACTTCCAGAGGTAGAAAACACATTCGACCGGATTGCTTTCGTAGTGTAAACACTCATGTGATCGAATGTGTTCAAACAGCCACAAAAGACCGTCTTCTCTCCGTCTCCTGACCTCATGCGTAACATTATGGGAAGCGGCTAGACTGACGGGATTTAAACTTTGTCGACTGAAGACCCAAGTTTGGTTTGAAGATGAAAAATGTACCAAACACAATGTTCTCTCACCATTCCTGATTTCGAACACACACTCACAGAGTTCGGCTGGTGTTGCTGCTGTCAGAGCAGAAACTAAAGCTGATGCTCTCTGTGTGTTTTTCCATCATCTCCGGTCGTAATCATATGTAAATTGCGTGAGCTTCTTTAGTCAATTAGAGCAAAAGATCTGAAAAAGACCCATACATTTACCCGCCCATAGACACTCCCCTCGAAGAAATCAGGACAGAAGTGGTTGAAAGTGAACAAAAGAGACGGATTAAAACATCAAGTGTAAACGTGTATGTCTTCGTAGTTTTCTTGTGATCTGATCGACCAAAACGCATCTTAATACCAGGTGTAAACAGGGCCATAGAAACACAATTACGCAGATATGAGTGTGTCTGGAGTTTTCACAATAAAATGTGACTCAATTTATGTTTCTCATAATCCACATACTTCACAGTTTTGACAACTTTACTATTTTTCTAAAATGTGGAAAATAGTAACAGCAGGTGTGTGACTGGTAGAGGACAAAAGCACGTTCACAGTTCTTACAGTGTTTAGTTGGTTGGTGATTGCTAGGGAATCAGTAGGCAGAGAAAGACTCAGTTCGGACAGGTATCCCAGCAGTCTCTTCTCTAGTTCTGGATCGGGAGGCTGTTCATCTTCCACCTGTGGAGGACTCTGCAGAGCCGGTCCAGGACTGTCGCTCCTCGCAGATCCACCCTCAACACCTCCAACCTCTGCTAAAATAAAAACAAGAACTAAATGTTGGGAAATGCATACAGTAGGTGGCACCATATACTCACCAAATCACTTACTGCAAATAATGGTTGAAAGTGAAACCTAGTTCATTCTTTCTTTGACACACATTCAAATTCTCAATTAGTTTTTTTAACATCACTTCTGGTCTGACAGAATCCTGTGTGTTTTCAATATTCAGCACTTAAAGGCAAGCAAAATAAAGCTGATTGTATCAGCATAAACGTGGTAACTCTCATCACGTTTCTGGGTAGTTATATTTTATTAACAAGTAAATAAAATCCCACGTAAGACACAGTTAACAGATCTCATAGCATGTAAAGAAGTTAGTCAACACACCAGTGCCCAGCTGAGTTGGGTCTTTTCTTCTCCTCTGTAGCCTCTCTCGCAGGGAATCCAGCTGCTTTTTGTGCGCCTGGATGTGACTCCATGTGTCCGACATGGTTTAAATGAAACTAGATAAACAGTGAATTAAAAAGAGACCTTACAAACGAAACAGATTTCATTGAGTTTAGTTTACGTCTAGTAATCCAACGCTGAGTGAGTGCACTGGTCATACGCGGATGAACTGGATGAATTTCAAAATAAAAGACACTCACAGGGCAATATTCTCCATTTAGTAATGATTAGTTTCATACTGGTACGGAGACAAATAGAACCTGTTTTATACATGTTTATTTTATTTTATATTAATTTATAACTATACAGTATACGGAATAAGCAAATACATAATTTTCAAAAACAGGGTAGTATTATGTAAACAAACAGAGCGGCTTTAAGTATCAGTTCCTGGGAGAAGCGAGAGAACTTCCGGTACATGAGAAGAGAAGACAGACCTGCCGAAACGAAGATTAGTTTATTTACCATCTATTTAGCGTAGAGCTGGAAAAAAACCAAGCTCTTCTAATTCAAGGTACGATTCACAATCAAAAAAAACAAAACGACTATATAAATGTATGTAGCATATCGATTAATCCGTAATGCTAAAAACATACACACTCAAAACAAACAGAGCGAACAGTGTATAGATTCACAAACGAAAGACTCGTATGAGTCGGCTCGTGTTCAGTGATTCGTTAACATACAGCGCGACTATCCGATTCCGGAATGAACGTGCCGGTTCTATGAATCAAAACCGAAATAAGGGCTGCGTCCGAAATCGCATACTTGAGTAGCTACTTATTTTGAATAATTAAGTAATTACTTCAGGACCGCTAAAAAAAGGTATGTTCTATGTAGTATGAATGTGTGTAACGTTAGTGAATGTAAACTGGACATACAACATTCGCCATGTTGTCATTATTATGTGACCTACCAGCATCAGTTCCCTTGCTTCGCTGTGTCATTCACAAATCTCCTGTGGCCTCATGGGATAGTAAAGTCTCCATCGTATTAAGAATCTCACCAGAAGTAGTTGGTCATCTGGGTACTTTTTGTATACTCTTTTATGAATACTGTGTATTCGGATATACTTTTGTCTCATACTGTGTTTCCCTACTATATAGTAGGGAAGTATGCGATTTCGGATGCAGCCGTGTAGTACATCATGGATTTGCGTTTTAGTTCGTTTAGTTCAAATAAAAAACACATGAATTATTCAGAGCTTTATTTATATCTGAATTTGGAATAGCATTTTTCCTTATTTCAAATCTCGCACAGAGTGGGTGGAGTTGGACCGTTTAAATTTGGTGCCGTGACCCGGATGGGAGTGAGGTTTACGGGGGTGAGTGTAACGCATAGGCCAGAATGAGCTGTGCGTGTAAACCTCACTCCCCTGATCTCAAGAGGCGCATTAGCGACCTACACTAGCGCCTGCGGTTTTTAGCTACCTTGTTAGCACGCCCACCTCCCACGCTGATTCGAGTCCCGCTTGAGTTGGACCGGTTACACAATCCCAGTATGCACACAAATGTCTTCTGTGTCACTCTGTGAAGAAATCACCTTTAAACATTGATTAACACGTCTGATTCTCTTTGTACATTGCTTTTTCAGTGATTTGTCATGGCCGAGCCACGCAGCCCAGTGTCCGCTTCTGTACCCCACAATCCGATGGTGCTGCCCACCCCTGAGGGCTCGTCTCTTGAGATGGACCCGATGGAGTACACCCTCCGCAAGCGTCTGCCTCGCAAACTGCCCAAACGACGGAACGACGTCTACGTCAACATGAAAACCGACTTCAAGGCCCAGCTGGCGAGATGTCAGAAACTTCTGGACGCTCATAGGGAAATCTGCATCCACGGTCTGGGACTGGCTATCAACCGGGCCATTAACATCGCCCTACAGCTTCAGACGTCCAGCCAGGGTGCGCTGCAACTGGCCGCCAACACATCCACCGTAGAGCTCATCGACGACCTGGAGCCCGAGGATCCAGATGAAGCTGGAGAGCCGCTAACACGCACCCGTAATAACTCGGCCATCCACATCAAGGTGTTTTATCCCAACCCGTAGAGCCAGTATCAACTATCAACACAATAAATGGGAACTTCAAAGACTTCATAAACATTAATGTAAAGTTTGTGGTGTGCTTTAAAGGCGTTGTCTATTTTATTTGGTATGAGTTTTGGTCTTGTTCAGACTAAAGCTAAAACTTTTAAGCCTTGCATTTGAGTTTGCATATGAACTTTATTGCTTTAGTGTACCAAGAAGTAAAAAGGAAATGTGCCATTTCATATGTTTCCCCTTTCAGAAACAGTTTAAGTATTTTTTTTTTGTGTGTGTGTGTGGTATACTAATGACCATGCTGGCAAGTAAAAAGACATTGTTGGACCTTGCCTCCCCCCCTCCTAATATACATTATACCTACATCTGACGTGCAGTCAATTGCTCCTTCCGTCAACATTTTTTTAAAATAATAATAATAATATCTATGAAAAAGTTCAGTCAGGATTCTGGCCCCATCATAGCACAGAAACTGCACGCGTTAAAATTACAAATGACTTCTAGCTTCTGACCAAGGCGATATCTCACTTGATCTTAGTGCTGTGTTTGACATTATAGATCATGACGTACTCTTAGATCGATTACAAAATTACACCGGCATTCAGGGACAGGCATTAGGGTTGTTTAGATTGTACCTATCCGACTGTTAAAATTGTGTTTATTTAAATGGAGAATTATCCAAGTGAACATCAGTAAATTATGGAGTGCCACAAGGGTCTGTTTTAGAACCTCTACTATTTTGCAATAAACATGGAATTATTTTCCACTATGCCGATGATCACTACCAGACGAAATCTTTAATTTATCCAATTTGACAGATTGTGTTAAAGATATAAAATACTGGATGACCAGTCATTTTCTAATTTTAAATTTGGATTGGACTGAGGTATTTACTTATTGGACCAAAAACCTGTATATTCATCTAGAAGGATGTCCTGTTACTTCATCCTCTACAGTTAAAGATCTGGGTGTTATACTTGACAGCAACTTGTCTTTCGATAATCATATTTTAAATGTTACAAAAACAGCCTTCTTCTTACCTCAGAAACATTGCTAAGCTACGGCACATGCTATCTGTTTCTGATGCGGAAAAGCTAGTTTTCTATATATTGTATCCATTACGATCACAACTTGTAATAATTGCTTTAATGAGCTCATTGTTTCTGCCTAAATGAATACATGATGTTGGCTAACTGCATGATTTGTATTATCTTGTACATTTTTGACATTACGTTGACAGTCACCTCTGATAACAAATGACTAAATTGTAATGTAGAAACATGCATTTTCCAGCCAAGCTGCTTTGAAATGAAATGTATTGTGAAAAGTGTTATACAAATAAATGTGAATTGAATACAAGGATACCTGACAGCTGTTGGCTGACCAGTAATAGATTAGATCTTCTTTCAAAAAGTATTACTGGATTAAAGTGTTTGTCCAGCCATTCTTGACCAGACTGTAAAAGAGCAGAAATTTTGGTAAGGCGAAAATAATGACACAAAACTGTGTTCAAAAATATTTAGTGGTGTGACTAAATTCCCTCAGAGGAAACAACATGACAAAAATGCAATACTTATACTCCAGTTATGGCTTAGGCATAATGTATGCCTATATTCACTCTATCATATAGCTATAAAAAAGTACTTGTATTCACATCAAATTCACCTTGGAAATTCATGTATTGCAGTGTATTCTCGGCAAAGATGCTTCATAAGACGAAAATAAAAACTTCCTCCTTGTTTTTTAGCTAAGAATAATACTTTGTATTTGAATACCAAATAACATTGTGATGAAAGAACCACACAACAGCAAAATAACAGGAAAAAACATCTACAAACATACTTAGTTGCACCCAGATGTAAAAAAACAGGCTATTTACGAAAAACACAAACAAGTTAAACAGAAAAAGAGAAACAAGATGTCAACCTTACGATCATTTCCCAAAGGAAAGTATGCAGCGTTGAGCGTGAAGTGGAAGGATGTTCGTCATACACTAATCAATATTTTTCCTGGCACCAGCGTTATCTGTACAAGGCCGCGCTCATCGGCGTAATTCAGACATGAGCAAACGCAGAGCCTCATCAGCTCTCTCACGAAAGCTTTCAATTCCCCCGACGCAAGCAGCAATCTAGTCCTTCTTCCTGTTCACCCCAACTGACCCGTAAGAATTCAGCATTACAACCTTCCTCCCCTGACATTTAAATCATTCCCTGCAGCATTCTCAAAAAGTGTCACACACACACATATACACGGAAATGAATATAAAACCTACAGTGCATAATTAATATTGATAAATAGTCTTCTCTATCAACATCTTCAACGTTTGGAGGTGCTTGAGGCCATGGTGGATGGAGGAAGAGAGGCTTTCTCTTGAATAGCTTCAGAGAAGAACCTGCAAAAAGCCAGTGATTCCAGCTCTAGGAAATATATATAATCTATATAAATAATGACAATTTCATAAGCAGTACAAAACACTTTTTAAAGAGTCCCAGATAACCCTTCCCCAGTCGAGCTGGGAAAGTTGCATCAGTCATATGGGGAAAGAGGAGTGATTTCTTGCAGTTTTACGATGCCTTCTGGTTGATTTTGCCGGGTGGGTTTGCAAATGCTCGACACACAGTGAAGACGGCCGTTGGGGGCGCTTGGCATTCTGGGGGATGTATTCTTTTCCCTTTGTGAGTAAAATCTTTCAAAGTGCTACAACTCCCAGTCATTCAAACTTCGGCGACATATCCTTTGTAATAGTCCATATCCTGCCTCCTGATATGAGGAGCTTCAGTTAGTTTGACTCTTGCCCTGAAGTGTGTATCAGCTGACACCTTGATGGCAGACAGGTGCACTGGCCAGCAGAAGACGCACTTTTCCCCGCAGGAAGTTGACGTGGATCTGAAACAGCTCTGAGATCGAGGACACTTTCTGCGTCTCCTTGTCTTCTCCACCACTGGTTGGAGGCACATATTCCTGAGAGACAGAGAGAAATGAAAGCGTAAATAAACGGATACAGTGTAACTCGAATCAGGGTTATTATCAGTTGTTAAAACTATTAAAGCATTTCTGTGAAATAAAAAATAAAAATATAAATAATAGTTGGAAAAACTTGGATTAAACGGAAATTTAAAATGTTATGCTTTTTTAAATTTTCAACTTTCTTTAGTGTGTAATGTTGCTGTTTGAGCATAAAAAAGGACAAAAGCACAAAGTCCATCCAGCGGGAGTTATTCTCTATATCAGTGTCACTGTTTCTGAACTCCCTGAAACGCCTCCAGCTATAATATTCCTCATTTAAATAATTCCCGCCCAAGGCATACACAGAATAAAGGGACGAGGCCGGGTTGAGTTAGTTAGTAGTGTGTTGAAACTGGCGGTGGCATTTCCTAAACACGTTTGAAGTGGTTGACCAATCACAACACGCTGGTCCAACCAACCAATCAGAGCACACTGTGCTTTTCAGAAGGAGGGGCTTCATAGAGACGGGAACTAAACAGAGCGTTACTGACAGACTGGGAAGAGAGGAGCTGCAACAATGGAGAATATGTGAAAAACAAGGTGTTTTTAAACATTTAAGCAATGAAAACCTCTTCTAATAGAGCCCAGAAACAAAATCAAGACGTTGCAAAAGGGTATAATAGGTCCTCTTTCAGTTGAAGCACTAAAATTATTTACTGGAAATAAATAAAAACTAAAACTAAAAAAAAAAAAAAAAAATTCAACCAAAATAGGTTTAAAAAATAAAAAATGACAAATTAAGCTAAAAATGTGCATGAAAAGTAAAATTACAAAAATATTGATCAAATTTATTTATATCTATAATAAAATTAAAATAACACTGACTCAAATGTTCTGTGACAGTTTTACATTTTAAACACACAAATTCAAGATTTAAAATTGTAAGCAATCTGTCTGTATTCACCGTAAGAAAAGAAAAAAAATCGTAACGTAAAAGGTACTGGTCATTTTCTGCCAGAATATTTTACATTAAGTTTATGTACATTTCCTTTAACCATAAAACACAACACAAAACAATGAGTAATTAAAAAATTTGCACACACACAAAAAACTTAAAAAAATAAATCCGGACAAATTCCTTCATATAAAGACAGTACATTGGACCCTATTTTTACAGACTAGAGTATATTCCCATAGTTGCTGCTTGTTTTTATGTAACACTATGACACAATCAAAGGGACGAACATGATCTCTTCCTGAAGCTGACATAAGTTTGTAGTGCACTGCACTTGATTAGCATAACATCCATTTTCCTGTTCCCGTAGCTTGAGTAGTAGAGCATGACATGACGCAAGCAAACAATGCCAAGGTCATGGGGTTTGATTCCCAGGGAACAGACAAGCTAATGAAATGTAAATGTAATGTATGCATATTGAATCAAATGTATATCTTGAATGGACAGTACAGTATGATGCTTTAGAAAAAAGCTAATTCAGTTCTAAGTGTATTATCCTAACCGTTACACTAATGAAGAATGTAATTAAAATGTTTGGGGTTAGTAAGATTTGTTGGTAACACTTTACAATAAGATTATTAAACATTAGTTAATGTATTAACTAACATGAACTAACCATGAGCAATACATTTGTTACTTAATAAATTATATTTTAAAATATATTCAAATAGAAAACAGTTATTTTAAATTGTAATAACCCTAGTTAAATAACTATACTAAAATGTATTTGAAATACAATTATTTTATGCTAAGTACAAATACGTTTACATATTTATGTACTTCATATAAATACCCTGCCATTGACCTTATGGTATACTAAATTGGTATACTTAGAGTCTGCTAAATTTTGTCTACACTTAATGCACTTTAGTTATCCGGGAAAAGTGCCGAGGTCCAACTTAAGAAATACTTAAGTTTATTTGATTGTGCTAAAGTGAAACTATTGCAAGTACTTTAGGTAAACTTTAAATATCTTGCATTTAAAGATTGATATTATACAGAGATCATAATATCCTTACTAATAGTGATATTAAAACACATTTTAGGCTTAATATTAATACATTTGCATTGTGCAATAAAGACGTGCTTAAGGTAAAGTTTCATTATAATATTTATGTCAGTCATTCTCAAGCGATATGTCATGGTTTGTATTATTCTTAGTATGAAATAAATGTATTTCAAATACATTTTGGTATAGCCCAGCCAAAAAAAAGAAAAAGAAAAAAAGTCTCAGTTTGGATTTAAATAGGAAAATACTTAAGAGTCAATGATTGGATCATTATTGCCGTGATTATTGTGTTTTTCTAATTCTAATTGATGGTTGTTTAAGAAATGAAAAGCTACACACTCCATGTAGGAAGACACATCATGAGGCGCCAATTCATGTGTGAAAATGATTCTTTACCATTCGTTCACAGTTTGAGCCTAGTGAATCTTGACATGTTCATCCTGGAATATGGCCATGATGTGTCTTCCTACATGGTTGTTTAAGAAATGAAAAGCTACACACTCCATAAATTAGGGATGAATTGAGAACTGCAGTGTCACGTGAGTGTGACCGCGAAAGAGATGCTAATCAAAACCAAACAGATGATTTAAAGCAGCACTATGCAGGAATTCCGTTTTTGTCAAACAGCGACCCCTAGAGTCGCTGTGGAGTACTTGTACTGTCGTGAATAGCACTCACGCAGAGATGGCTCTGCACTCACGGCCGGATCCCCTCCCCCTGTACACCGGTACCTGTTCAGTAGGATGGACGCTGTAACGAGTGGAAATAAGGTATGGCCCCTTTAAGAGCTGCGCGCGCCCTGTTTAACTGTCGGCAGTCTGTGTTGTATGTGCGCCTCGAACACCACATGTATACGGCGCCGGGTTATTTCTGTTTGATGCTCATTTTATCAGAATTTTATCAGATCTGTTTTTTGCCGTAAAGCAATTCGTTACCTCGCGAGACCTGATATCACACGATACTTCCTAACACTGAGGCCGGCGGCTCGCCGGCCCAAAGTTGCAAGGGTGGTTTTGCGGCTCACAGGCACCAGGGGGGTGCGAGACGACCACCATTCAACACGAAATCAGTAATATAAACATTACAATGACTCCAAAGCTGTTCGGTTAAGGTAAAAAAGTTACTTAGTTCACCTTTAATTTTTAGCAGAGTATCCGAGGGAGCTGTACAGGCTCCGCCCTCTTCTGGAAAGTAGGGCGGGGAGGAGCAGCTCATTTGCATTTAAAGGAATAGTTCACTTAAGAAAGAAAATTCTGTCATCAAGCAGACAGTGAATTGACCCCATTGACTTCCATAGTAGGAAAAAAAAATACTATGGACGTCAATGGGGTCCATCAACTGCTTGGGTACAAACATTCTTCAAAATATCTTCTTTTATGTTCAGCAGAAGAAAGAAATTCATACAGGTGTGAAACAACTTGAGGGTGAGTGAATGATGACAGAATTTTCTTTTTTTTTAAGTGAACTATTCCTTTAAAGATACATGCACGAAGAAAGCATGCTTTTCCTTCCACTCAAAAATGGGCATTAACAACATGATATAATAAATGATCTGTGGGGTATTTTGAGCTGAAACTTCACAGACACATTCTGGGGAAACCTGAGACTTATATTACATCTTGTAAAAAGGGGCACTGTTTCACTGTATCAAATAAATACAGCCTTGGTGAGCAGAAGAGACTCAAGAGGTCTCTGTGTAACTCACCGGTATGCTGAGACTTCGCAGCACTTGTCTGATGCTGACAATGTTTCTAAGAGTGGCGTCTATGTGGGATTGTATCACGTCAGTCTGATTAAATGCCTGTAATGAGCTGATGGCCTCGTTCAGCACGTGAATGCCTGACTTGACCTCCTGAGCTTGCTCCTCTATCTGAAGCGACATACAGAAGAGAGGAATATTAAAACTAAATGCAGTGTTAAGCATGTTATTTATTATCGTACTGATTTTGGAAATGACTATATCACAGGAACATGTAGCTTCATGTTACTTACATTCATCGCTTCCCAGACATCAAAATCAACTCTGGTCAGAGGAACAGTGAAGTTTGTTGCACTGCTGCAATCATCCTTACAAGCTCTCTGCGATAACAAGAACATTCACACGCTGAGAATGAGCTCTATTTCTAATGAACAGCTTTAGCCGTCATGTGAATGTCCCTCACCATAGCAGTTTCTGCATCCCATGCCTCCTTAATGTAGTGGTCGAGGACGCGCAGGTCGCAGATGGGGCGTAATGGGGAGGACAGGCCTGGACGGGTCCACTCCAGCACCATCAGCAGTAAGGCAAAGAGTCCTGACACACACAGAACAGATGAAGATCAGTTACAAACCAATTCAATCTTTGGATGAGATAAATAAACAAAAAAACGCCAGCACTTTTACACTTATACTCTCTAGCAAGAGACTAGCATTCAAGTTGGGACTCGGGACAAACAGATTCTAGGGGTGCGTTCCCCAAAAAGTTTGTTAGCCAACTACAGGGTTCCCACACCTTCGTTACCCTCAAATTCAAAGAAGTAATGTGGGGATACATTTCAAGTGAGAGCAAGGTTACATCGTGTTACCTTATACATTGTTACAGTTTTCATGTGTCAAACACAACTATGCCCATATGACAGATATCTGATATTCTATTTGTTCACTCTAAACAATGCTGGGTTGTTTCAACCCAAATTTGGGTCAAATATGGACAAACCCAAATGTTGGGTTAAAAATGTAATTTAAAATTTTAACCCAACTTCAACTTTCACTTTCAACTGTAATTTTTTAAATTACATTTTTAACCCAACATTTGGGTTTGTCCATATTTGACCCAAATTTGGGTTGAAACAACCCAGCATTTTTTAGAGTGTTGTATTTCTGTTTTGTATAAAACTGAAAAATATTTGGTACATCCTATTCTGTATTCAAAAATGATCCGGTATTAACTTTTGCACGGATTTTTTTGGAAAAAAGCTTATAGGCTCATGTAACCATAGTTTTAAGATATATATGCTTTTAAGTTTTTCTTCCCTCATGGGTTTAAATTACCTTAACAAGCATTCTTTGTAATCTTCTTAGGTGAGCCAAATATATTTAAACTTTGAAGCATTTTCCAGGCATCACGTTTCAGCGCTTTCAGCCTATTTTTGCAATGTTTCACGGTGTGTCTGTGAAACGTTGAGGTACCATTGTAGTAGTTTCGTGTGCGCTTGAATGCATGGCAACGTACATCACAAAGTACCTCACGCGGGAGTATATGCCATCCTAGGTGTATATGACTTTCTTCTTTCAGACGAATACAATCGGAGTTATATTAATAAACATCCTGATGCTTCCGAGCTTTATAATGCCAGTGGATTGCAACCAATGTATGTAACCAAGCTCATAAAAGTGCATCTATTCATGTTAAAAGTGCTCCACACGGCTCTGATGGGTTAATAAAGGCCTTCTGAAGCCAAGCAATGAGTTTGTGTAAGAAAAATATCCATATTTAGAACTTTATAAAGTAAAATAACTAGCTTCCAGCCAAACAAACATACGGATTCCACTTAAGTCTAAAGCCCAACTTAGGATGGCATGAGGATGAGTAAATCATGGGCTGATTTTCATTTTAAAGTGAACTACTTTAACGTAACGTGTAAATGCGCGTAACTAACATAAATCATGCAAGCTATATGCATAGGCCACAAAGTGTTGGCGAAATAACACATTAGCAGACCGGAGGGAATAATATGACATTTTTTCCAGAAAACTTCTTGCACAAAATAAATTCAAGCACTTTCAAGGACCTGTATCTTTGTAGGTTTATTTTCAAAACCTTTACAGGAACTTAAATTCAGATTCACAAACATTCAAGGATTTCAAGGACCCGTGGGAACCAACACAGTTGAGCAATTTGGCATTTCACGAAACCATAATACCAAAAAACATTCGCAAACGTACGTATAGTTGGAACAACAGCTCTTGATCTGTGGTTAGAAGCACAGTTTCTTGTTGAAATGACATGTGGAAACAGATCGTACTCTTAGGCACAATAAGAAAGCTAACATTCAGTACATCTTTCATCCCATTTAAATAGGTATGTAGATTTTAATCTATATATTTTAGCATGTGAACAATCAGCACTGTTTTTTTAAGCAGTGCAAATGTGACGTTGAGGGAACCCGCGATAAATCAAACATCAACTAAAGCAAAACGACAAATATAACTATACATGGCTACCAAGTTTTAGTTCTAATTACTAATTGAACTAAATGTTACGTTCTTGATTGACTGATGTTAAGAGTGTACGTTTGAGATATTTAAAAAGCCGTGCTATTTTACAAAGATAAGCTGATTTGTTGGAATTATATATATATGTACATCAGTCTGGTGAGTAAACTAAAAAATGTGATAGCCAATGGTGATTCTATTGCCAAGGTGTGTGTAGACGAGGGTTGTATACGCCAGCAGTGACTTCAAGACTCTTAAGGCAAATTCACACAGCACCGACAGACACAGAACAATGGGACCGTCACTTCTCAGACATGACAAAACCCGACAAATGGCGATTCAACGTTCAATCGGTGAAAACAAGTGCCGACCAACAGCAACAGCCGCAGACAGGGGGAAACACTGATCCCACAAAGTGCTGTTGGTCGTCGCCTGTGAAGTGGCCTTTAAAGGCAAGTTCACACCGCACCGACAGACGAGGACAATCCCGAGATTACACTATACGCCACTTCTCTGAAAGACACCAACAGATGCCATTAGTTTCATGATGTGTGTGCAGTAAATAGCCATCTGTAAATAAACAAACCACTGTAAAAAATCACTTGGGCAAACAAGCCAATAAATAAGACCCGTGACCTGTAAAAGAGGTCAAGATTTAAGACGACGAAAAAACCATAAGAAAAAAGGCAACACCCACACAACGCTCGACTACTCTGTCTATCTGGAATAAAGAGACAGATTACACAGAAAGAGTGTTTGTGTGTGTCTGGTCTGCAAACTTTAATCCTCTATCACATGCGTGTCAGAAACCTAACGTCCGAGTCAAAGCAGAAATGAAATGATAAAAGTACATATTTGCAGTGGCAACAAATTGTAATTCAATCTCGTTTCCTCTCTTTACTCTGCCGAGCTGAAGCCATGAGGTTCGACATTGCTTGTTTAGGGCAGTGAATAAGTATGCATCCTATGCAGCTGGCCATGTGATTGAACAGCATTTATTTCTTATTGGAACATTTTTGAATGCACTCTTTCAGCTTTAGCAGGCTATGACGCAACGGGACTCTGATCAAAGCGGATACCCTCTGATCTTGAGCACATGAAACACTCAAAGTTGGGCCAAAATTTGGAGTAGAATGTCAACGATCAGAATTTTCTTTGCGAGTTTTTCTGTCGGCCTCAGCTTGACAAATCACTTTACTGCTGATCTTGGCAGAGAATGGCGTCTTGTCACGAAAGCAACAGAGGTTCTGTTGACACCATGACCTGTGGAAAAACCAAGAACCGCTGCAGAAACACACAGAGTCTGTCTGAATGCTGCAGAACGCACGTCGTCCACCGTGTAATCAGCCAATCCCTAACAGCTACATTTCATCTGACCAAGCCAACAGCATTTTACAGTCACGTAATTTAATTAGATGAAGCCACTTCTCCCACAGCTAAACATATGGATATTATCTCTGTAAACAGCCATCTCCATCTCTCATTCAGTTATAGTGACTTGCAGGCCCCCATATACACATTTGTTTTAGTCACACTATAAAAGTTAGGACTACACAGTGGGATTTTTTTTTTACGTTTACCGAGCTGCATTTATTTGATCAAAAAGTATAGTGAATGTTGCATTGTATATTACATTTTAAAACAACTGTTTTCTATCGTAATATATTTATGTTGGCTTGAGAAAGTAAACTTACAGTATCTCCAAGGAATTTCAGTATACAACCACCAAACTCGGGTCAGGCCTGTTCTGATTTGGGTTGCCATTTATTTTCCAAATGATCAGACTTAAGATTTTCATTAACCGGACGATCAAATTTTTTATAAAACTTTTAAACATGGCTTTGTCAAGCCAACATAAAAGTTTCTCCCAGCGAACTTTACTGATTTTATTAGTGGGTTATCATATTACAAATTTAAGTGAGTTATAAAATGTAATAAAAAAGTATAAATAATTGTCAAAAAGAGTGAAATCAATATAATTGAGAATTTTAGTTTAAGAGGAGGAATGAAGGAAGTTGATTATGTTTTCAAGGGGATACTTAAATTACAACAATTAAGCCATGCAAAGACAATAAATTATTCACTTGTTTATAGGGCCTAAGATTTAAACAGCCAGAGGCAAGAGGTTGATTTAAAGAGAATCACTCAATGGAGAATGTGCTAACTCTCCATATCCTTGCACAAACACAAGGCTTTTATACCTCACTGAATGACTAACGGATAGCAACAGAAAGAGGGGGAGAGACTATATCACATGCCTTACTCTCCAGCAGAGGGAACCGCCAACTACACCGAGTGTCTAAGGGATTGAAGTTGGGATCATAGCCAATGTTAAAGGTAACAGGGGAAGTGCCAACACTAAATGCCAACAACTAGAGTCTATTTTTTGCCTCACAAGAGAGAGCACTGTCAAAGTGGCGGGTTTTACCCTTGGTAAACCAAGGACCTTGACCTAAAAAAAAAAAAAAAAAAAAAAAAAAAAAATCATCAAATACATTAACTGTGTGTGAACACTTCATTAAAATAATAATATTTCATTAAATTGGACTTCGGCTGTGGAAATTCATTAATGCAATTGTACAGGAAAGTACAATTTAACTTAATGGTTCAATTAAAATATCTTTTTTTTTTTTTTACATTTGTGATAACTTTATTTTCCCTTCTTGCAGAGAAACCCCCTAGAGAAGCAATCTGTGAACATCCGATCTGTCTACAAGCTTTTTTTTTTTCTGCAAAGTCACTCTCATTTTCACAATGAATTTGCTAATCAATTGTCAACTGATGATGCAGCACTTTTACACAGAGTGCACTGAGTCAGCTCTCGTTGTAATGTAAAGCTCATGCTTATAAAGATTGCCAGGTCATGCATGGGGAATTCCAACACAAATTCATTACAAGAAATACTGAAAGCTTAAAACAACCCCCTTTATGAATAATACCTTCTTATGTTTACCAATTAAAATGCAATTTGATTGATCACTAGGAGAATATGATAATAATTATTAATAACGTATTATAATTCCAGTGATGATTTGCTCCAGCATTCAATTCACTTTCACTTACATGCTCACTTTCAAATTATTAATAATACCAGTGTTTAAAAAAAAAAGTATTTTGCCCTATGCATTGATAAACAGTAAACGATTAACGTATTTCTTGCTATTCATTGAATTCAATATGAATTTAACGCACCAAAACAACAAAAAACATACATTTCCACTTGTTGCTAAGCGCACATGTAAAGCCAACTTTTGTAAAAGCGTAAGGATCTTACCTGAACCGTGAAACATTCGCAAAGCAACTTGGCATTTTTCAAACACATGATTAACAATGACAAATATCGCGCAAAGACAGCTCGACTGGTGGCGCAAAAGACATGGATAGACTGGAGCACAGACGCATCCAGCCCTGCGCGCTGCTTCAAGTCCTCTGTGGGACGCACACGAGATCAAATGCAATGACACCGTCCCTTCCCAGGAGGCACGTACTCAGATCAGTCAGGCTTTGCATCACACTATTGGCAAGCTTTCTATGAATGTAAATGCCCCCTCTCTCCACGAAAGCGATTAAGCAGAAACGGTGGAACGCGCTCACTAATGTCAGAGGTGGAGAATGAATGGACGTGTCATCCACGAGACAGCTACAAAATGTTGAAGCTCAGGTAGGAAAAAGAAAAAAAAGGCTGAGGTCGTTTAATTTACTCACTGGTTATCTGCATCTCAGAATCCAGTCCTCACAGGATCCTCTCCGTTTTGTCCATAGCTCCGTCTATAGCCCATTAATTGCAACCAAAGCTTTTTAAGGTATTGTCAGCACTCATCGGTTCCGTAATGCTTAGCTATTTATTTATTTTCAATCCATGACTTTGAAAATAAAAAATTAAATATAACAGTCTCGTGATAGTTATCAGATCAACTTCCTGTTTTGGAAGAAATTAGTCTTTCATTGTTACTCACATAATATCTGGTTTCTCAAAGTAGTCTACAAAATAAACAGTGTACTAAAAAGGGCTTCCTCTCAATGCAATTTCTACAATGATCTTTTAACTGCATTTTCCACTTGGCATACTTCCAGGTAAGGTGGTAATACAAAGAAATGAAACAATACTCACAATTATGTACCCCTGCTTCATGCTTTGTATTAAAGGTTGGTACTTTTGTTCAGGGATCAGGGAGGCAGTTCTTCCTATTCATTAGAAGTATCCATACACTGCCGTTCAAAAGTTTGGGATCAGGAAGATGTTTTAACGTTTTTGTCAGAAAGAAGTCTCTTCTGCTCACCCAGGCTGTGTTTATTTGATCCAAAATATTGTGAAATATTATTACAATTTAAAATAACTGTTTCCTATTTGAATGTATTTTAAAACGTAATTTATTCCTCTGATGACAAAGCTGAATTTTCAGCATCATTACTCCAGTCTTCAGTGTCACATGATCCTTCAGAAATCACTCTAAAATGCTGATTTGATGTTCAAGAAATATTATTATCGAGTTTGAAAACAGTTGTGTACCATTTTTTGGATGAATAAAGTTCAAAAGAACAGCATCTGAAATGTAACATTATAAATGCCTTTACTGTCACTTTTGACCATTTTAACACATTCTGAGTAAAATGATTAATTTCTTTCCAAAAAAAAAAAAAATCTTACTGACCCCAAACTTTTGAACGGTAATGTTACAAAAGCTTTCTATTTCAGATAAATGCTGAAATCTTTATAAATTTTAAGGTGGTAAGTCAAACGAACGACTGAAACTTTGATTTTTGCAATCACTAATCAGGGGGACTATCTTCACATATGTTGAAAAGCCAAAAACCCAAGAATTAAATCTAAATGGGTAACATTCAGGAGAAAAAAAAGAAAAAAAAACATTCTGGGAAGGTTGTTTTGTGACTATAAAATGAAAAAAAGGGGATAAATTAAAGTTTGTCCTAATCCTGGATATAGCAGTCACTTACCTTACCTGTGGGACAATTCTTCCAGAATCCCTTCACAACATCAACTCCACCCTTATTTCGTAAATTTATATTAATTAATCAGGAGAACTTAAACACCACCCTCCATTGTGAACAGCAAAATCTGTTTACTTTTACCACTCTCCAGGATTTATATATATTTTGTGTATATATATACACACAAAAATAAATTATTGGCATTTTGCCTTTCTTTGGATAGTAGATAGACAGGAGGTGAAGCGGGAGAGAGAGGGGGACGGGTTCAGGAAATGTCCACAAGCTGGGACTCAAACTCGAGTCACCCAAAGCACAACTGCTCCACATGTCAGAGCGCTGCCCATGGGGCTATTGGCTCCGACAGCAATAAATATTAAACTTCAAACGTGTTTAGTAGCTGGCACAGAATAGTGTAATCCAGGAAGATATGAGTCTATCCAGGAAAACATATTAGGTCTCTGGGAAGACAGAGTGTCCAGAGTTCAAAGATCCTGATTTTATCCTCAGGGATCAATAAAGTTTATCTATACATATCTAGAGGGCATTCAAAACAGAATCTCTATGCATTTTGTCTAAGCTCAAAGGTTCGCCTACTTGTGTGGCTTTTTGACTATATACTTACAGCCAAAATTGGCTGAATTAAAATGATGTTCAGTTGAGTAAATTGGAAGTTCCCTTTGTCTCCATAGTTTAATTGGTTATACTTTTATCTTGCATGCTCTTTAAACCAGGTCTGTTTGTTGAAGGGTGACAGGGCAGGATAGAGGTTGTTTGGGCAATAGTTGTACAATGTATATATTAGGATATGAGGCCCAGCTTCTCTCAGTTCTAAGGATAATCAATATGAAAACCTCTCTATACTTATAAACGTTTTCCAAATATAATGGTTAACAATATATATATATACATATGTCAACATTATTTCGTTAACGCATGCGATTAATTTAAAATCTGTAACGCATTAAAAGAATTTTAAGCAAATAAATTACTGAAGCACTTGAAATTGCCTTTATTAATGTCATTTGCGTCACGAAGTTAGATGATCTAGATGAGTCGGAAACTTGTAGCCGTACGATTTATGCTGTACGAGCTTGCAGGCGATTTCTTTCTCTCAGGAGAAATCGCATGGAAATGGCTGATGCTTGTATGGTCGTGGCTCGCATTGTGTGAGAGGAATTACAAGCCGAGCACGTTATGAGCACCTCCCGAACTCTTAAATTTTATGTGTGTATATAGGCTCCCTATTGCCAAATCATGCACAATCACATCACATAGGCAAGATAGATCTATGAATATTATTATAGCCCAGTGGCTGCAACTCTACAGCTGTAATGCTTTGATCCACAGAAGATGAAGATGATTATAAAAGAACATGAGTTCCCTTTCGTAGTCACTACGAGTTACGTCGTGACGACGAATGGGGTTTCGCTTAGAAAGCCTATCAACTTCGAGAAATATAAAACGTGCCAATGGCAAGAAAATGCCATGGGTCTGCGGAATTTGCATAGCGTAACTCCGCCCCACCTCGTGGGTATAAAAGGAAGGACGCTGGCAACATGCAATTATGTTTTCGCTTCAGAGCCAAGAGCATTTCTTCACCCCACAAGCCATTCTGAGATCTTCTCTTCACTCTTCGAGACGAGCTAACTCTCCAGGTGTTGGTGTGACGGCGAATTTCAGCGAGATTCACATTCCCTGCTAATCTGTGCAGTGATTGCCAGACGTGTGTTTCTCCCTGGTCGCTTCAGCATCTGCGGAGTATTTTTTACTCTCATTATAGAGTTAGCGCACGCGGCACGTCTTTCCAAGACAACAGTGAAAGATGTCTCGCCCGTGCACTTCTGGTTGCGGTCGGATGGTTTTTCAGTCTGATGGGCACAATAGCTGCTTTGTGTGTTTGGGCATTGATCCCGCTGGAGGGCATTTTGTGGATGGTTCATGTTCTCATTGCGGGAACATGACCATCGCGACACTGCGGTCGAGACTCCATGAGCTTACTAGAGCAAGAGTCCCCTCATCCACATCACAAGGCGGGCTCGAGTCGTTGGGAGATGATGATTCGGCTGTGCTGCCGCCTTCGCCTTCGACAGCCATGCTCTCTCGGGCAGCCGCGTGCATCGGAATAGAGTGGAACCCTCTGCAGCGCCCAATGGGTACACTGGGGTTCCCCTGGTGGAACGTTCTGTTGTGATGCACCTGTGTCGTCAGAGCGCTTCCTCCCGTGGTGACCCAAAGCACCCCTCCAAAGCCTGTAGGTTTTCATCAACCCTTATCGCGAAGTCCTATAGAGCTACGGGGCAGGCTGCCGCCTCTTTGCATGCCATGGCCATCCTGCAAGTATATCAGGCACGGATGCTCAGGGACATGAGAGACACCTCTGGCTGAACCTGGCCGATATGCGAGACGCTGAGCGAACCTGTTTGCTTGACGCTACCATATCCCAGGCTGGCCTCTTCGGCGGCGCGGTTGAGGACTTTACCCAACAGTTCTCAACCGTCCAGAAGATGACTGAGGCCATAAAACAAATTCTGCCCCTACGGCCCGCTGCTGCCTCCACCCAACCGTCGGCACAGATGCCTCAGCCTGCTCGCCACCGAGGACGCTCTCCTGTGGCTCCCGCCCCTCCTGCTCGGCCCCAGCAGCAGCCTTCATCCGGGCCACGCCGTGGAGGTGGTCCAGCCCGCGCCCCGCTAAACGCCAGGCCAAGCGGCGCTCCTGAGACAAGCAGCTCAGAGATGGCACTCAGTTCTTTCCAGGAGAGGGTAGCAGGTCCTCTCCGTCCCCCGGTGGAGGGCCGGGGGAGAATCTTTTGTTCTCCACTCCCCGCTGCTCGCCCCCTGGTGGGCAGCACCCTAATGTGGTTAAAGAAAGAAATGACCCACCCATCTCTGAGCCATCAGAGGTCCCAGATGACTGTGCGTGTCGCTCACGAGCCTCGCCACTCTCGTCCCCCTCTGTCGCCAGACCCCTGGCAGAGCAGGCCCCCGTGGAACGCTGGTCCTTCCCTGGCCTCCTCTGTGAGGACACGGTCAATGACTGTGGTATGTCTGTGGTTCGTATGACCCCGCTGGTACAGTCCTTGGGAGCTTGGTTAGAGCTTCCCAACCTGTCCCACTGGGTCACGAGAACCATCAGGCTCGGCTACATGATTCAGTTTGCGCGATCTCCTCCCCGCTTCCGTGCAGTCCGTTACACTATGGTCGGTGGAAATGCCCCTGTCATGCGTGCGGAGGTTGCTACCTTACTGGCGAAAGGTGCGATCTAGATTGTCCCTCCAGCCGAAATGAGGTCCGGCTTCTACAGCCCCTACTTCCTTGTACCCAAGAAAACCGGTGGGTTACGACCAATCCTAGACCTGCGCGTCTTGTACTGTTCCCTTCACAGGCTTCCGTTTAAGATGCTCATGGCCAAACACATTTTCCAGTGTGTTGGTTTGCAGCGATCGACCTGAAGGACACCTACTTTCATGTCTCCATTCTTCCTCGACACAGACCATTTCTACGGTTTGCTTTCGAGGGGCGGGCATACCAGTATGCGGTCCTCCCATTCGGGCTAGTCCTGTCTCCTCGCGTCTTCACGAAGGTCGTCGAGGCAGCCCTTGTTCCCTTATGGCCCGGTTCGTTTGGTCATATGTGAACACAACAATCGCACTCTGAATCGGAACAAAACAACCGAGCCGAGAC